TCCGGCTCTGTGGCCACCGACACGGAGCCCACCGTGGAGCTCTGCAGACTGGTCAGACTCCTGCGCTTTACGCGCGACGCGCGGCGCGGTGTGTTCGGTGTGGAGAACACAAATGGCTTTGATCCGGCCGGGCGCATGTGTGTCGTTGCAAAAAGGGAGGTGTTGCAAAAAACGAACGAAGAGTGACTCAAAAAGAACTCCACCGAGAAAAAGGAAGGTGAGATCATGGGAGTCAGAATCGAAACCAGGCATTGACATGGTCTACCCAGAACCATGTAAAGAATTAAGAAGGCGGATATCCGCAGCTATTTCTGGCAAGGGAATTGTCCCCTACTAACCTTCATCTACCCGAATCGGTTTTGATTGTTGCTCATGTGGTGCAAATGGCAAATATGTGTTCTCGATCAACTTACTCCCAGGCTCTGGTATCGGGAAACGCAACTAGGTTTTTGAGTAGAGCGTTTAGAATAAGGGTACCCTTCTTTCGGTAGTCTATTTTAGTGAACCCTCCCCAAAAAATGGGAAAAGGGCACGACTGGGGGACCTAGTCAACAAGAACGCCACCCGAGAAAAAGGAAGGTGAGACCACGGGGAAAGCTTGAGGGTGCCGCTGAGCCGCTATGGGGAGCCTGTCGCTGGAGCCTCCCAACTTGCTGCAAGCGACACAAAAGGATGATTGTTATGTTTACTTTATTTAAACAAGAAAAACTGCAAGAAACACGAAAGGATTAAACCATAATTTTAAAAAATAAAATACAAGACTGCAAGGGACACAAAAGGATTAAAAACATCTATTATTTTTTGTTTTAAAAAAAATGCAAGGGACGCAAAGGGATTAAACAAAAACAAACATACCCCCCGCCCCACTTTAAGAAAATGCATGAATTGAAATAACATCATAACGCCCAGTGGGTCGGGATCTAAGCTCATGAAATGGGCATAAGAAAGGCCTGGTTTGCCTGAGGATAGAAGTTCATGCCTCCGAGGAAAGGTTTCTGAACTAGTCAAACTAATGAGGAAGTCCAGGCCTTCGGGTCAATCTTGGATGAACTGCCTGAAAATGTACGGCCAAAATGGGGACGACTGAGATGGAACGGTTTTTCATCACCCAGGCTTGAGGCCGGCGCAAAAAAATGCGGCAAACACTCTGCGTGACAGCTACGCATGTGAAATAATCTCAAGCCAAGATCACAGGTGACACATCCAATTCAGAGTGAACACATGCGCACTTGAAACTTCCCAAAAAAGCACCCCTCCTGGACTGCAGGGCAGTCTTGGCCTCAGTCAGGAACCCAGTCTTGTCATACGACACCTTCTCCATCTTGTACTGAACCTGGCATTGCGCGTTGCTTCAACTCCACTGGAATCCCAGCAGTGCCCTACAAGCAAATAGCTGGGCAACGGCGCAGCCCTACGGCTATTCGAGGTCTTACTTTACAATCTCAGTGAAAAAGTGCACGTGTGGGGCAGGAGAACCTCCGAAAGCCGTCCAACATGTTTGCGAAACGCGAAAAGGCGTACCGTTAAGTGCGGATTAGACTCCCTGAATTGCCTTACCGTCCCGAAATGGTCCGGTTGCGTGACCAAAAGTCACCTGAGCCACTAGAGAAAGCGACGGAGAAAGCTGAGCCGCAAGAAGAACCAGCCCTTCCAAGGCTTCGGAAGTTTCTCTTTGGGTGTGCCGTTTTTAGCCTCGAACAAACCCCCCAAATGGTGACGCTTTTCGGTTTTTTGGTTTGCAGTTACAAACCAATCCAAAAAGGGAACTTCAATAAAAAAAAACACCCCCGCTTGCTTCTTGGTTTTTTGGGGGCGGGGAGTCATCACACAAAACCTACCCCCTTCAGGTGCGGCTTGGCTCTTACCCCCCGCTACGTGTGTTTCTTGCAGCTTGTGTAGGGAAACAATGCATCGCCCCGAGAAAAAAAAAAGAAAAAAAGACCCAAACCGACAGCATTCCAGGTTAGTTAAAGCTAGTAGCACAAAAACCAAACCAAACAACAAAGGAGTGGTGAACTTCCCACACATTGTCAAATTGCCGACCGTCTGCCGAGCATTCTGACACTAATCCCGAATCCCTCGGTTCACATTTCTTCTTGAACGTCTCGAGCAGCCACAAGCGAGAGGTCCAGCACAGAAAGCCCGTCGTAAGGGTTTATTAATTAGGAATGGTCCGAGCTTCCGTTTGCCATCCTTCCCCATACCGCCAGTAGGAGGGGATTATGGCATTCGGGCATAATTATTATGGAAGATGACGATCTGGGGAAGCCTCCAATCGTCCACTTCGATGATTGTTGGAACGAGGGTAATTGGTGGTTTGGATTAGTGGCTTGCATTTGGATTTGAACCCCGGGGTAAATGGAAATCACAGCGGAACACCTCCAGCCAAACAACAATCCCAAGCATCTTAAGCCCCGATGCTTTTCGTTGGTCGCGCATGAAGCTGCAAACAGTGAAACACCTAATGTTAACCCCGGATTCATAAACCCCTGGTTGATTAATAGGGGGTGTCCCCATTTAGCGGGGATTCATCACTTTTGGAGGGAGCACCCCCCTAATAATGGGACGGTGTTTTTTCTCCTGGGTCAACCTTACAAGCACGTTTGGGTTGTGGGTCACCGTATGGCAAAGCCGAGGTATGCCTTCACGGCGGCGCGTGCGCCTCATCACTGGACTCGCCGTCGTAGGAGTCGGCTGCCACTTCGACCTCGGATGAGCTAGGCGAAACCAAGTGTGGAGCTGGACGCAAACACAGCCTTACAATTCTCGGTTGCTTCCTGCTCCCCTGTTAAAAGTTTAACTTTTAGTTGCTTAAAATGGAAAACCAACCATGAGTTGGCAAAAAGTTAAAGCCCTAAAAACCAAGCAAAATCTACCAAATAATTTTGTGGAGAACCAAATCCAATAGCATTTCCATAAGTCAATCCGAGGGAAAGATCTTCATTGCCCGCCTTGCCCGTGGCACCCTCTGCAGAAGTTCTCAAGAGGGTGGATATAGGGATTGGGGCACACACACACACAGGCACACGCACAAGCACCCCCACCCCCACCCCCACCCCACACACACAGACACACACAGACACACACAGACACACACACAGACACACACACAGACACACACAGACACACACACAGACACACACACACAGACACACACACAGACACACACACAGACACACACACAGACACACACAGACACACACAGACACACACAGACACACACAGACACACACAGACACACACACAGACACACAGACACACACAGACACACACAGACACACACAGACACACACAGAGACACACCGAGACACACACAGACACACACAGACACACACAGACACACACAGACACACACAGACACACAGAGACACACAGACACACACAGAGACACACAGACACACACAGACACACACAGACACACACACACACACACAGACACACAAACACACAGACACACAGACACACAGACACACAGACACACAGACACACAGACACACACACAGACACACAGACACACACACACAGACACACACACACACACACCCACCCACCCACCCACCCACCCACCCACCCACCCACCCACCCACCCACCCACGCACGCATGCACGCACGCACGCACGCACGCACGCACGCACGCACGCACGCACGCACGCACGCACGCATGCACACTCCCACACACCCACACACCCACACCCACGCGCACACGCACACGCACACGCAGACCCCTCCCCCCCACCCACACACAGATTCCATTCAGAACAACAAACAATAATCAACAGAAAGCAAACAAAAACACGCGCTCACTTGCACGCACACAACCCACACACACACCAACACAACACAACACAACACAACACAACACAACACAACACAACACAACACAACACAACACAACACACCACACCACACCACACCACACCACAACACAACACAACACAACACAACACAACACAACACAACACAACACAACACATACACACACAGCACACACACACAACACACACACAACACACACACACACACGCAACACAGCAACATGGCACGACACAACATTGACACGACACAACGCAACAGAAAAACAAAACCGAACGGAACGAAACATACCATACACACACATAATGAACTGTGTGGACATCCAACATTGTCAGCTCTGCAAATTATCATGTCCGTTTGCTTGGTGATTCGGCTCCTTGTTTACACCCTGGTTCAAACCCATCGTTTAAACATCCTGCCTTTGGTTCTCCTGAGGCGGCATGCCGAGAAAGCATACCGCGCCTGCAACAACAGGAAGGGACTCCTACATCCGCATCTGGCTTTGCAAACCAATTTTGCCCAACCCTGTCAGTCAGTACCCTCCAAACAATCATGGAGAGGCTTCTCCCAAAAGGAAAGTAGACGTCGGAAACCCTCCTGTCAGCCTCCACGTTGGGGGGTCTACTGTGGATGGACGAAAACCTGCACCACCTATCAAACTCTTGAATGATGAATCCCCTGTAAATACCAACAAGCGTTATGGTTTTCCATGGTTTCAAAGCGGTGGATTTCGTCCATCCACGGTATTTCCCGCCAACGTGAAAGCTGACAGGAGGTTTTGTTTGAAGTCTACTTTCCGTTTGGGACAAGCCTCTCCATGATTCCCAGTGGGTCCAAGTAGCTCCTGAGGATGGCTTCTGGGAGTAAAAAAGGGTCTGAGAACGTCCTTCTAAGTAGACATGTGCATGAAGATGAGGGGAAAGAGAGGGACAGAGGAAGATGAAAGTCATTTATGTGCTTCAAAAACCCCGGACTCTCCTCAAAAAGGAACAGATTCCCTTTGCAACGAACAAGGAAAAAACAAAAAACAACAAATATTCTTAAGCCAAGGGAAGAACTTCCCCCAGACCACGTTCTGCGTGCCCCGAACACCCCGACCCAACGACCCGGGCTCCGCGGCGGTGTAGTCCGCCTGCACGGAGCCGGCGCCGCTCTGCAGGCGCCGCGCGGTGTTGACCAGCGACAGGGCCACGGAGACCTGCGGAAGGCGCGGGGGGTGGGGGGGTGGGATGGGTGGGTGGGGAGGGAGTCTCAGTTGTGCAGTGACCCTGGAGAAAAAAAAGAAAACAAGGGGACCCTTTTTGGGGCTTGGACCATTTTAGTGGGGCAGCCACCAAAAAAGAGGGTGCCACTGAACAACTAAGGGGTGGGGTGTGGGGGGGGGGTGTGGGTGTGGGTGAGTGGGTGGGGGGTGGGGGGTGGGTGAAGGTGGGTGGGGGGGGTAGCCAGTTTCGGGGAGCCACAGCCTTGGTGGCAGAAACACCAGGTGGCCATGGGTCAAAATCCAAATCGGTTAGCCCCAGGGAACATCCCAATCCAACCACTGAAATAGGTTCTTAAATTCACCTACCCCAAAAATGGGATCCCATTGGTTTTGACCACCACAGCCATGTGGGTCTGGGTCAAAATGAAACCACCGCAAAACCGGGGTTCAGCCCTGTGTTGAATTCTGTTGGGGCTGGAGGTGAAAGACAAAGAAGGATAGCAGATCGGTCTTGTAGGGTGCTCGGTTTTTTGAACGCCTGCCGTTTGGGAAGCTGTGTCGAACCCCAAAACGCGAAGAAACACCTACTGACTTCTTGTTCTAGCATGGTTATCAAGCTTTATATGGGCCCTATAATTATAGCCCTGATGAAACCGCTGGTACCAGAACTACCTGACCTATGGTCATGGTTCTTATAGGAATCATTATGGTTAAGAATCCTTTCCAGGTGGATGACCATCCCAACGTGAAACCCAAGTAAAGTTTCCGGTCTTGTTGGACCAAGGCACGCCTACTCCGTTGACGTTGGAAGGAGATAAACATATATCAAACAAATAGCAGTCAAGTGGTTGGATTTCAACCACTAAACCACCATAAGAAGAAAAACATCTAAAAAGAAATCCCCACAACAACCGTGGACAAGGATCGGGTTTCCGGTCTTTTGGATTCCAAATCCACACCTCCACGATTTCGGGTTTCCGCTCCCAGACGGCCTGGGAGGCATTCACGCCGATCTGCTTCGCAAAGCCTCGAGGCCAGCCCAAAACATCAGTGGCTGGGTCAAAAATAGGTACCCATTCAAAAAACCTGGTAAGTGGAAACAAAGACTAAAACCTGCGGTTGTGTGGTTTCATTTTGACCCATACCCAATTGTGTTCATGACAAGGCTGTTCCCGCTACATTTGTGCCGAAACTCGGAAACCCTAGAAGACAAAAAGGACATTTCCAAAACCTGCAAATGATAAGGGGCTCTGCATGGCTCCCCCAAAGGACTGAGCTTTCTGTAACATAGGCAGTCGGAAACTGTGGTTCAGGCTGAAAAGCGCAAAGGGGCGTGTCCCCCCCCCGCCAAAGCAAAATCTTGGTTTTCTGGCTGGCTTTTCAATAGAACACCCAAAAAAGGGGGGGCACCCTCAAAAAAGCGACACACCCAAAGGAATGCCTCCAAAGATTTGGTTTGGAACCTGCAAACTTTGCATGATCGCCGCGAGGCACCCAGCATAACTAGTTTCATTTGGCCTGAAAGCACCACAACTCCTTCGGAGAAAAAAAAAGGTAGTCTTTTAGAAGGCACGTGACATGAGTTGTTTTTGAGGGTATCCACTTCTGTTTATTACGTGAGGGGGAAGCCAAAGCGACAACTATATAACTGGACCAAAAACGCAAAAGGACCACAAACGAAGCTGCAGCATCTTCGGCATTGAACCCCCGTCTCCCCACTCAGCCAATCCACAGTCTTCATGCGAAGGTGGTAATCATTCGACTCGGCTTGGTATTCTTCCATTTGCTTAAGATTGCTGGAAAACAAAGAACAAAGATCTCCAGTAGTGATCCATTCCCTTTAAAACCAACAGGGGGAAATAAAACATATTCCTAACCAAATGGAAGTATTCTGTGGTCACTGCTGACCTGTAGGTTGGGACTTGCTCAGCCCTCCCCTCCCCCACGGAGTCAGACGCAGCACTTCAAGAGGGAACTGAGCAGGGCGTTTGGCTCCTTCACCTCTACAATGCCTCTTCCGGGCCTTTTCAGGCTTTCAAGGGGATGTCCTGTACCCAACGATAAACTGACCACTATCGAACTACCTCATCATGGTCAAGTTGTGGATATCGCATTGTTGTCGTGGGTGCCGTTGTCATTTTGGGATCTGATGCTGAATGGTGCTCAGGCATACTATTTCTGACTCATGTTATTTTCCTGAGACCGGGTTGGACGCGAGAGTTGCTTTTGAGTGTCCCAGCGAAACAAAGTGTTTCCGAAAACCCGTGGCACATTGGGCATTGTGTTGGAAGTGTTCGAAGGGAATCGGCAGTGGCTCACAAAAAATGTACCACATGGTGCCTCTGTAAATGGAACCAACAACTAAACCCTGCGCAACCCTCGGTCTGAAAACTAGGTCCTCCAGTAGAGAGGTTAGAATAAGGGTACCAACTTTTTCGATTTTGTCTATTTTATCTATTGTAGTAGGGGGTTCCCCCCCCAACCAAAAAAGAAACGGGTGAGTTTGGTCGGGCACCCACCTAGCTGGGGGACCTCATTCGACCCAAGTCCCAACGCATCTCGCTCTCGGCTTCGCCTTCCTCCAGCGCTGCCTTGAACTCTGCATTGGTGATCCTGGGTGGAGTGCTGAAGGCTTCCGTGCACAAGGTGAGGAATCGCCTTTGAAACCGGGGCCCCAGAAAAAACTGGGTGCGTCTTGGCTTTTTTTGGCGCGAAAGCAAGATGTGCATTCGAAGGTGAGGAATCGCCTTTGAAACCCAGAAAAAGCTGGGCGCGTCTTGGGTCTTTTTTTTGACGCGAAAGCGAGATGACGACTTATGCTTTCCTGCAGATGGACGAGAGAGAAGTCCGGGATTGTTTTGCTTTTTGCTTCCGGTGCTTGGTTTTTCCGGGACCATTTTAGGGTTGGCTTGGAATGGGTTTAGGTGGGTTTAGGGTGCCCGGGGGGGTGGCTTCAGGGTGGCTGTAACGTGGGCTTGGGGTGGTGGGTTTAGGGTCAGTTTAGGGTCAATTTAGGGTCAGCCATCGTGTACGGCTTGAGTGGGTGTAGGCTGCGTACAGAGAGGGTTTCCAGTGGTTAGGCTTAGGTTGGGTTTAGGGCGGGTTCAAAGTTTGTTTAGCTTTGGCTTAGGATGGGATAAGGCTCAACTTTGGGTGGTTTGGGCAAGGTTGGTTTAGGGTATGTTTGTGGTAAGGTCGGCTTAGGTTGGGTTTTGTTGAGTTTGGGCGGTTCGGTTTAGGGTGGGTTTAGGTTTAAGGTGAAACAGGGTGTTTAGTGTGGTTTAGGGTGATTGCTTGCTTCCTTGCTGGGTGGCGGACACAAAGGCAGCAAACTCCAGCGGGATTTTGCACCGGACCTCAACCCCCCCCATGACGAACGGAGGCCATGTTGCCCCCTTCCCATGCCCATCCCAAAGGCATTCCTTGCAGTTTCCCTGTAGCCGGGTTTGTTCCAGCAGGATACATTTTGGGCGAGCCAAAACTAGGCTGGAATTAGGACCCCAGCAAATATATATATATATATATTGCATGGTTAGTGGAAAACAGAGGGGACGCCAAAAAAGCAAAATCATACAAGGGGAACGAAATCTGGGGAAGAAAGAAACGCAATCTCTAGCTGATAGTGCGGCAGGTGCCGGGATGTATAAAAAAACCGTTAACTTGGGTTCCCCTGCTTTGCCCAGTCGGTTCGTGGAAACCAGCTTGCCAGGCGTCATATTGGCGGCGTCGGCAACGTTGTCCAGCACCACCGCGCTCTTCAAAAGCCTCGAAGCGAGCCACGGTCAAAATGTATGTGGGGGTTGGTCAAAAGGTCAGTGATACATGGAATGACCATGGGCAAAAACCACCAAACAAATGATATTCCCTTGGGAAAAGCTACCCATGGTCTTTTAACACCGCTAGTGCGGAAATAGGAGAGTGCGGGATTTCGCCAGAAACTTCGAGTTCCCAAAAAATATCCCCCTCCCCCCCGAAAAAAAAATGGACCATAGACTACTGGAATAGACAATCCAAAACCAATACTCTGTGCAACATTATCTGTCGTGAATGAGCAACGGAGCCGCCCGTGAATGAGAAGTTTGCAACTGTCAAAGGGTCCTGGGTTTGACACAGTCCAAAGGACCGACAAAAACCTATGCACACTTTGCATCAAACCACACACGCGTGTGTCCAGAATTCTAAACTAAAGCAGTCAGTGACAACAAGTGTGACATCTGCAACCCTGCCCACCCTATCTCGGCATTTGCCCACTCAGCCTTGAAACTTGAACCCCAAAAGGCGGTTCACTTGCCACTGACACTGAACAGCCCGACGCCCAACATGTGGATGGCGTTTGCAATAGATGCCGCCTCTAAAGCACAAAGCAAGACCATAAACACCTAACCCACCACCCCTTGATACACAAATTCTGCCAACACCCAAAATCGCGCTAGACGTTGAACACGGCGATCAAACTGGATAACAACACCTCAAGCCTCGACCGCTAAAATCCGAATTCCTTTCGTCTTCGCCCTCATTCTGTGTTCTTGTGTTCGCCCATTTCCATAGCTGCATAAAATCCGGCGGATGCTTCAAACGGCACTCAAAGTGGAGACGCAATCCCCTTTTGATGTTTTTGCATCGTCTGCGCTCGTGTTTCGTGGGATGACCTTCTTCCGTCAGAAGGCGGAGCTTAAACGTGTCTGCTTTGAGGGTAATTAGCGGTGGGGTGGTTTAATTGAACAAAATAAGTCGCCATCAAAGTTGGACATTCCGGGTTTGCCGTACTTGGTAGTGGTTTCCCCACCTGAGATAGTGACGCTCCACGACCCCCCCGGGGCCGCGAGCCAGTTGCCTTTGGCGCGTGTTTTGTCTTTCAAACACAATTTCAAGGCCGTAGCTGTGGCCTATATCCTGCTTGGCTGGGTTTTGCTTCATTGTGTCTCCTGCGTAGGCGTGGGAATGGCTACAAAATCCACTTCCTCACTTCCTCACCTCACTTCCTCACTTCCTCACCTCACTTCCTCAAGCAACAAATCCTCTGCACAAGTTCTCTATGCGTTTTCTGTGAGGGAGTGTCTGCGCGCAAATTTCTCTGGGCAAGTTTCTGCGCGCGAGTTTTTCTGAGCAAGGTGCTTGAACAAGTTTCTCTGGGGTTCATTCCCATTCTATCACTTTGAAAAGGGTTCTCTTGGGGTCACAGACACTCGGCTCATAAGCCCAGTATTCCACAAACACGTTTAGTTGTACGTAGTTGGCTCGAGGGGTTTTGTGGACAAGTTGCTCAAGCACCCTGCCCACCGCGGTCGCCACTGTCTGAGTGAAGATGTTGTAGCCTGGCCACATGAGCCACAGTCAAAATAACGAGCGGTTCCCCAACAGGTCTCGCTTGTGTATTTTTGGTGAGTACTGATATAATATGGTCAAAACTACATATGTGGACCTTGGCATGTTTCCCTTAGTAGCAACCTGTACATTGGTCGAAAAGAAAACAACATCAAGAGCTTGAGGACCATACCACCCCACATAAAAGGGTGTTTCGACCGTGGCGCATGTGTCCTGTTGTTTCCAACCGGAGGGACAGTGTGCATGGTTCCGCTTTGTTTTTCCTGTATCACAACGCTACACCAGATGCCCTCCAATACAACACGTGCCCATTTGACGGTTGTCCAAAAACGCGGACCCACCCCCTGAGCCCTGCTGAAGTCCCGCGAATGCTGAGGGGGACCCAGTTTTGAGCAGAAACGCAACCCCATTTTGAGCAACCCTCACGGACAGAGCCGGGATTGTTGCCCTCCCAAGAAATGCCACTTGAGTAGTTGGCTAACACCCTCAAAGAAAAAAAAGCGCCGCCCCTGAGCAGGTTGATGCCTGACCACCTCTTTTATAAGACCGATAGCCAGGCCAAGCTTTGTCTGTTGCTCATGTCAAAAAAGGGACCCCGGGTGGGGGGGTGTCGTCGAAAATAGGACCCTCCGCCCCTATGTTTCTTTTCGGAAGGTTCTGAGAAGGGACACCCACAACTTTGACATCTCACGTACACAACTACATACATCCAGAATGCGCGAGCTCACTGTACCCCAAGGTCGGTCTCATGTTCGCACTCGTCGTATGTTCTACTTATTCCATCCTGCCAACGGGTTGATCAATTCTTTTGGCGGTCCAAAAGCAAGCGCAACTGCTACCTCTGGCAACAACAGCGCGTGGCAGCCACTTTTGGAGTTCCAAGAAAAACATGCGCAAACGGTCGAAGAAAAAACCGCTATACTGCAATTGATGAAGGTCCCAGATACTCAAACTAAGCTTGACAAGAGCTTCCGCAGTACTAAAACTAGCTAGGTTGGATCTCTTTCAGAACGCCTTCGATTCGCGTGGGCGTGATCCTTAAGAATAGATACGCTGCGCGTGAAGAACCTGAGGACAAAAGGAAAACACTGAATTCAGCTCTTCCGCATGTGCGCAAACCGCCTTGCTTGCGTAGCCTCACGCTCAGGGAGGCGGGCGCGGAGCTGTCTCGGAACGGGTTCGGAGACAGGGCAATTGGCACGGCCGCGCGTGCTGCTGCGCTTCAAGAACTCGCGGTTTCTGTTAACATGTTCGCTTCTCTCGCACAAACCCTCTGCCTGCGTAATGTTAACCCCGGATTAATAAACCCCTGGTTGATTAATAGGGGGTTGTCCCCTTTTAGTGGGGATTCATCACTTTTGGAGGGAACACCCCCCTAATAATGGGACAGGTTTATTAATCCTGGGTCAACATTACTTTGGGTGGGTCAAGCTTCAAAGACTCCTGGTCCTTAACGATGCTCACTTCGCTCTCGGACCTTGAACACCTCGTGGCGCTTGGTAAAGCAATGGCACTGGGTGAGCCGTAACACAAGTAGCACGCCAGAAAACGCGGGAAACCATGGCATAACCCGAGAAGTCGCCAGAAGCCACGGGAGAACCGTGGGAAATCCAGCCCGATGGTTCAGTTTCACGCCTTGGTCCATCCAGCCCTGCAAGGTGATGGTCCCATCGGAGGTGACCAACAGCTTGGGCATCTCGAAGTTGGGCATCTGCAAATTCCTCAAGACAGATTGCTTGGCTGGTCAGCTGAGCTGGGCTGGGCCCACTTGGGTTTCGGCCTAAAAATGGCCGAGCTGGGCCTGCTGAGTTGAGAGTCAGGCTAAGTGGAATCTGGAAGCTCGTTCTGAACACGGCTAGCAACTTGATGTTTGGTAGGCTCGGGGCTTGGACATGGCTGACTGCTCTGGTCATATCATGACATGGTCAAGGTCTTTCTGGGGAAGAGGTTGGGACTAGAAACCAAGGCCGGGCAAACTTGGCAAGACTTTGACCCCGCAAGAAGTCGTTTTTGGGCTGGTTCAGGTTGCTTCTGGCAAGTCGGAACCCGATTGCCACGCCCGGGTGAGAGAGAACTGAGGGCTCCAATAAGTGCGAAGCTTGCCGCGTATTGCGCCAGTCAGTTGAGCTGAGCACCGAAAATAAGAGGCAAGGAGCCCAAAGAAAAAAAACATGGCAATGATCGCTAGCTTCGTTGCCCGATGACAAAGTGGGAACTGACTTTTGGGGGTCGATGTCATTCTTAGTTGCTTGGCAATGTAACCTCACTCAATCATGGAAGCTGAGTCTCCTCCAGTCTCCAACCCACAGTTCCAATATCCTTCAGCCGGTCTACCCCACCCCTAGTCCGGTTTATTCATTCTGGAGTCTCTTACATAGGCGTCCTTTTTTGGAAAATAGATGGGTTTCCCTGGTAGCTGATCGAAGCACCAGGCAAACCAGGAATCGCCTTCAAGTTTTGAAGCAAAACGAGCAAAAAGGACACCTAGGTCCTCCAGACTTGAGAGGTTCGAATAAGTTGGTACCCAACTTTTCTCTTCGTCGTCTATTTTCTTTAGGGGAACCCTCCCAACCCAAAGAACAAGTTGGAATGTTGGGTTCCCGGGACTTCCCAGGGTGCGACTGTGCGACCAGGCCGCAGGTTGACCACGCTGTCGATGTCCGGGAAGTTGAGCTCTGGCGACCCGAATCAAATCCAGACCCAGGACCCTTCAGCTCTGCTTAGTGGTTGGGAGCCGGGTTGGTGAAATGGAGGGGTAAACTAAATCTGCCCTCAAGAACCAATTCAAATCCCCAACCAATCCAAACCACCAAGTAAGGGGTACCTGACTTCTGTAGGTTCAGTTGCCTTCTTCTGGGGCGGAAAAAAGGAAGAAAGAAAAAACATGTCCAAGAAAGGCTCTACATGGCCATGGGTCAAAACCCATTACTCCCAGTGAACATCCGATTCAATCCAAGCACCAAAATCGGAAGCCTAAAATGGGTGGTGCATTCACCGAAACCAACCTTTAACATGGCATCCCGTTGAACGGTTTTGACCCACCCGCAGCCACATGGAGCCAACTTGGGTTCCCTGGGTCCTTCAGGGAATCAGCGACTTCGGTTCCCCCCGCTTGAAATCGGCCAGCGCAATCGGTCACCGCAACAGTTTTGGGGGGGCTGGGTGACATTTTGCTTCCGGCAGCTCCTGAGAAGAGCTGTGCTTATTGCGGACTGGCATCATTACATGTTGCAGGCAGCAGGGGGCACCCTTTTTGGACTTCTTTTTACCGGGCGGTCTCTAGGATTTGCTCTAGGAACCGAATCCAACCGTGCATTCTCCCTTTCAGAGTGCGACAAATGTGCACACATAGAGTGCAACCATTGGAGGACACAGTCCAACTACTTGATGGTTTGGGGAAACCACTTGTTGCCCTTGGTTTTGCAGGGGGTGAAGCTTTGTTCTGAAGCACATGGCTATTCCACAGTTGAACCATTCGGCATGTCCAAACGAAAAACAAAACTCGGGCTTTCTCTCAGAGATCCAGTGGCCAAAGTGCGCACCTTTGAACCCACCACACAACAGGGGAACATGGACTTGGCTCACGTTGGAAGTACAGCAGAAATGTAAACATAGCAATTCAGTGGGGATTTCCCACTAAACCACAATAAGCAACATGTTTCCCAACAACAAACATGCGGAAGCCATAGTCGTCGATCCAAACTTCATGTAAAGACTCAACCGGGCGGGCGCTTCCAGATATGGTTGGAACTGCCACTAACCTTCAAATACCCGCTAGGCTATCTTGAACTAGACTTTAAATAGTACATCCCTTCCACGTTGAACTTTAACTAGAGATTAACTGAACTCAGAACTGATATACGTTAAGATATGAATGAATTTCCAAATATGACATCAAATAGAGTTTAAGTCGATAATTATGCTGAATTAGATTTTAAATAGGAACTCCTTCCAATTCTAAATATGGTTTACTTTGCAGTAGGACTTCAATTAGAGTTTGATTAGGACTTAATTAATGACAACTTAAGTAGAATCGAGTAAGGAGCGGCAAGCTGGTTGTTTCTTCTGAGTAGTTCAACATACTGCTTATCTGGAATCATAATTGACATAGGAACTATGTTCGAAGTATCTAGGATGTTGATGGGTTTTCAATTTCGTATCTGGTGAGGAAAGATCATCGAGAGAACATGCAAAACACACAACACACCTGGTGACAACCAAACGAAAACAATGACACCTTGAAAGACCTGGAGAAAACAAACAATATACACATGTCTCCAGAACTCTTTCTACATGAGCTATTTTCCAAAGAGTGTCCAAATCATTTGTTGTGGCTTTGCGTTCGTTTTGCTTGCTTCGAGGTTGTTTTGGCTTTCTGGCTTTCTCTAATCTGTCTTGGTTTCGCACATTGTCAAGATGCTTCCCCTGCATTGCTTGAAGTTTGGCCATTCACCAGTTTCACCCCTCCCCCGATCCCCCGATCCCGAGGCGAGCAAACTGTGGACTTCAAGGGTCCCATCTTGGGAGATTATTTTGGCCAATTTCTCTCCTGTTGTTAAGGACTATGCTGACAAGTCGGTGGATGGATGTCGCAGACAATGTGGCAAAGGGTGTTGGAAATACAGCGAAACCGCCTGGACCCTCAAACTACCCACGAAAATTGCATCGCCTCGTACTTCTGGGGCTTTCCATAATGTGTTGAGGGAACTAGCCTCGCGAATATGCTCTCTGGAAGGGCTGTTGCTGAATCAAAAAGGATAGCTCAAGGTAAAAGCCCGAGCAAAGGGGACCTAAAGACATGCGGCTGAACTACGGACTGAGGCAATCATCTTGTTTGCTTGGAAGGCATGACATGAAAACACCAAATTGGTGCAGCCAAAACTGTCGAGGAAAGAAGTGTGGTCGAACGTTCAAGAATGACCAGTCTTGTTTTCTTCGGCTTGGTTGACCCCAAGCAATTGGCCCTTTCCTTTCACCCTAAGTCTAGCCACACCTTCCCGGCTCTGTTCAGCGATCCTGCTTTCCAGAAACTGCGCAAAGACTCTGAGGAAATGTGTGGTGTTCGCCGACCCCTTGCCAAAAGGGGGAGGCGCACCGGAAGGTGGCAACAAATCCTTGTTACACGGCGAATTACATCACAAGACGCTGTCATCAAATTTGGTTGACGTTGGAAGGGGGACAAAAAAAAAAATCTTAGCAGTTAAGTGGGGATTTCCCACTAAACCACAATAAGCAAAAATGTAAAATGGTTCCCAACAACACTGATCATTAGACTGAACATTAGACAATCGGTGGGAGCAAGCCTGGCTCAATTACCAGGGAAAAAAAGAGGCCCTGCTGGTGATGCCGGGGATGCTGCTGCCGCATCCTATCTCTTTTTGGAAAGGGTTCGGCAGTGGCATCAGGCCGCCTGCCATGCTGGGGATAAAACATGTTCAGCGTCAAATGAGTCAGAATCCAAACCCGGTATTAAAATGGTCTACCCAGAACCATGTAAAGAATTAAGAAGGGTGGATATCCGCAGCTATTTCTGGTTGGGATTGTCCCTTACTAACCTTCATCTACCCGGGTTTTGATTGTGGCTCAAATGCTATTGGTGTTTGGGCGTTCATTGACCGGTGCACTTATCTGCAAATAAGGTGGTCGACCCCCCCCCCCCCCGCAACACTGGCGCTTTAGTACACGGTGTCATCATCATGCTCGAAAAGGGGCCAACAAAAAAGGTTTGTTTTCACGCCCTTTGGCTGTCTGCCTCCAACGTGCGATGCTTTCGTAGGCAACATCCGTAGCCCAGGGAAAAACAAAAAGTGTACTGTGATGCATCAAAACCGTGTTCAGATTGCGGTCTGCGGCACAGGGCGGCAGTTTTAGACAAGAAAAACAATGGGTGAAGAGAATGAAATGGAACAAACCCTTCATCAATGGGTGGGCTTCCGTGTCTGTCAAAGAGACGTCACAGACCAGCCTGGCAGCGTGGGGATCTCGAAGTTGATGCCCAAGTCCCAGTTGCCTGCGATGCGCTGAAGCCTTTTGAGGGGGAAAAAGGAAAGGGACCCCCCCGCCCCCCGGGCCAAAGGAAAACAAGGCATCAGTGCCTGCCACCCCCCTTTCGTACATTAGCATGTTTTTGTTCATCCACCTGCACATCACTCCAACTCCCGCCCCTCGCCCCCAAAAGTGGTTTCCCTTCTGGTGGGAAGGGCTTCATATTTTCATTGGCGTTGTGATTTGGGAGACCCAGGCCCAAAGAGTCCCTTGCCCTAGACGGATTCTGGTATGTAGAAACATGAACTAAAACCTGCGGCAACCCCTACCCGGGGGGGGAGCCACTCCGAACTCTGGATCTGGGCGCAGAAAAGAGGACAACCGGAGACCGACATCCGAGGTACTCCCAAAAAGTCTTTCTGATTCTGTTCCATATTATTCAGTCTACCATACTTGGCATACTGTGGACGGACAATATTTGCACCAGTTCGTCCATTCCAAGTGGAACCCAGGTACGTGCGTACATGCAATGCACTCAAAACTCTCTGCGGTCCAAACTCCTAGGTGTTTTTTTTGACCCCTGACCCTATATTTTCTTCAACATAAATACGGAGACTTTGCCCCCCACCCCTTTTGTCTCCCTGGAAATCTGGCTCTCCACGTCGCCCCCGCGCGCGGCGAACCCGTCGCGAGGCCCGGCGCCTACCCCTGCCGCGGAGATCACAGAGTTGAAGGCCGTCGCCACCAAGTCGCTGATCGTGGACTCGGCTCGATTTGTTTCAGGGTCGCGACCCGTTTGCGGATGGTTTTGGGTATGAGAAGGGAAGAACAACTTGTACAGCAGCTGCAAGCTGAGTCATGATCAAAACATATCAAAACGTAGTCTTCAAATAGTCGTCTTCAAATAGTCGACCCAAGACCGTGTAAAGAATAGGGCGGCCGAACCTGATTCTGGTCGGGACTGTCCTTACTGGCTTTCACTTACCAGGGTTGATAGTGCTCGTGTGATCCTCTGCTTAGGTGGGACGCAGCGCGTGTTTTGTTGGTACTTGATTCTTAAGGCACACCCCCATCGGCTGGAAAACAAAACCGTTGGGTGGTTAAGCACAAAGGCTTCTTGTTGGTACCCTTTAAGTTGATTTTGGAGATGTCAAATTGATGATTTGGTACTCAAGGACAAGGGAACTTCAGGGTGTCCAAAGCGCCAAACCATAGAAGGTCACGTCCAAGAGCCACTAACGACAGGACTTGTTCGTTTCGTGGTCCCCATGTAACATGACCAGGAGCATGCAAAGCGACCCACGCATAATAAGCCACAGAGGAGGACGCGGAAACATGGTTCCAGCATGGGGGTTCCCAACAACAACCTCAGCTTTGTCTTTGTCCGGTCTATGTTTGGTGAATCTAAACAACAATTTGTTTCATAAGTCTTTCTGTGTCTGGTCTATGTTCAGTACATCAGTCAATATGAATTCCTTGCTCGGCACATTGCCATTTTGCCGGTATTACCCCGCGCCCGGCAGAGGGGTGACCTCATTCGGCCGAGGACCTTAGTAGAAAACCCCGGGGCTCCCACAAAACAGTATGAGTAGGGGAGAGGGGGGGTCCCGGGACTTCATAGCAGGGGGAAGCCATTCACGAGAGCCCATGATCATCCCTAGTGAAAATGCGCTTCGATCGTGGCCATGGCTCCCTTAACTATAGGTCCTCCAGTAGAGAGGTTAGAATAAGGGTACCAACGTTTTTCTGGACGTCCATTTTAGTAGGCGAACCCTCTCCCCAAAAAAGGGGACAAAAGGGCACTTAGCTGGGGGACCTACTCAACAAGAACCTTTGATTGCATCGGTTTACTCACTTCCCAAGTTGACTGGCCAAAAAAAGCTTGAACTTTTTATTTACAACTAAAATGGTCTTTCCAAAAAGTTTGAAGTCCACCAACTCAGGAAGTGAGTTTAAGAAACCCACCACAGATCAATGTCCATCCACAGTACCAACCACAAGGTGCTGAAAGGACATGCCTTTCAACTCGACATTTGACTCGTTGTATTGTGACAGCCTAGCCTTGAAGTTGACGTTGGGTTTGGGGAGAAACAAATTAAGCGTCAGCAGTTCAGTGGTTGGATTTCAACCACTCAACCACAATACGCAAAAATGGTTCAAATGTTTCCCAACAACAATGTAACAGCTGTTTTCAACTGATTCTCTGATTGTTGGTTTCCGTAGGTTTCTTTTACGATGCACATCTACGGTTGAAGTACCATCCTTCCGCGACGTTGCCTCCGAAAAAAAGAAGTTCTGCCACCTGGAGGCTGGGGGGGCCGGACATCGTGTATTATATATATTATAAACAAACATGTGTGACAAAGCTTGAAAGAGAAAAACAGAAAATAAGAAAAAAGGAAACGCCTTGAAACACATCGTATCTGTGAAGGAAACATCATACGAGTTCGGCAAAATATACGACTTGCTGACATTTCGTTTTGTTTTCTGACGACTTCCCGGGACTCACTAATTTTCTCTTCCGAGAACCCCCCCTTCCAAGATAGGAATATTAGAAGCAACAAAATGTAAAACAAATCGTAAAACCGGTGTAAAACACACATACTTGCCAACCAAACCAAAATCCTATCACGACAAGAAGCTGCGCCGAGGCAGATGTTCATTGCGCTGCTTCCGAGCGCGGTCTGAAGCAACGAAACGCAGGCGGTGTCGTGGGCAAAACTCGGGAAACTAACACGGGCCATCCCTACTGTTGACCACACAAAGTCCTGCGGGTAGGTGGTGTGTCCCGTTATTCCATTAAGCTACAGTGTTTGCAGCTGGTGTAGGGCTTCGTCCATGCACAGTATGGCGACTTTGTATCACAGAAAGGCTTGACAGTCAATCAGTTGTCCAGCATGGCTCTAGAAAACGGTCTGGATGTGGGTTGTGTGGATCCACCTCAGGATGTTCAAAGAGTACTAAACGAGTACCAAAACAAGTTAACCACCAAGAAGACAGAACAGGTGACATCTAAAACACGCGCATTCACACCCCGTTTTCGGGGGGAAACAAATTAAAGAGGACGGCGGTGCTTGCCCTCCCAACTAAGCTAACATGGAACCCACCGGAGCCTCCGGTGGGTAAGCAGGTTTGTCTCAAGACATGGATAGATTTGTTGTTTTGGTTGCTCATGGCAAACCCAAAGGTAGGACTCAAACAACCAAAGTCTCAAGCAAATGCACTTTCAAGGGCGGCCGAAGAGTTCGCACGTTGGGGTTCGGTTTGGGGTGTCTGAGGGGGACATATGCCCCAAGGCTCCGTCTGTACCTTCTGAGAAGGTATGTTGACCCCTTTTGGGCAAGTTTCACCCTTCCAAAACCATGCTCAAAGGCTGAGGGACCCTCGAGGATAGGACGACTTGATTACCACATCTTTTCCCCCTCCCCCCCTCCCCCCACACCCCCCTCAGGTACTAACACCTTGGTCCGGTGAACACATCCAAGTGCACTCGCCGAATGGACGGCGCTATTGGTTGGTGAGTATCCAGGGAGCCCTGTCATAATATCCGAAGCAACCTTGACCCCGAATTATTTGAATCAATGGGCCTGGTGGATTGCTTGGGGAGTTCCCACTACAGGGGAAGCAGAAAGCAACGAGACTCCAGGACAACAAGACAAAACAAAGGAGGCATCTACCCTTCTCAAAAAGCACCGCTCGGGGGTGGAGAGGGTGGATTTGCAAAGGCGTGTTGCAAGTGCGCCAATCACACACGAATCTTACAGCTTGTGGTGGTGGGTTGCAGATTTGAGCCTCTTGCCAGTGAGGGGAAGTAAACATCAACAGTAATGGTTCATGGGTTCCCCTCCGTAGCATGGAATTGCACCAACCCGCTTGAAGACTGTCATCTTTGAATATGGCAACTGTGGCACTTGCGTATGCCTGTCGCTCAAAACAGCGTAAACCAAAGGCTGAAACCTGTGTAACTCTAGCTCTTTCGTGTCGAGCCACGACCATATATTCAGAGTCCTTATAAGGTAATCCCTGTCAAACAAAAGGGAGTAGAACCCGTTCTAAGAACCAACCATTTCTCATTCTCATTCCCTACCTATCGCACCAGCAAGACAACCATGTTTGCTTGTGGAAAAGCGATGCGGGGTCTTCCAGCAAGAACTCCCCAAATCGCCAGCGGGGAATTCCAGCCGCGGATGGAAACCCACCGAGGGAAGCCAAGCCCATTGATCCAAAGCCCGAAGCCAACTTAGAATCAAAACCTGGGACGAACATGGCCTTCCCAAAACCATGCAACGAATCAAAAGGGCCGGAAAATCACACCACTTCACGGATGGCACTTGTTTGGGGGTCAAAATAGAAACACGGGACCGGACTGGACTCCAGGTTTGAAACGCGTTTTGGCACCGATGGGGTGGTTTCCTTCCGCTGAAACAAAAATAGAACAAATCCCCCGACCAAATTTGCGCCTCCAGGCAGCTGCAAGGATCCGGCACCTTCACACAGACTTCCATCTGCAGCAGCTGGCTGGGCACCATACCTCAGACTCATCTCTCTGGGTACCGAAGCTTTGAAGGGAACACTGACCTCGCCCTCAAAAAATGATCCCCGAAATTTACCTATGGTTTTCTTGTTGTTGTTGGTGTAAGCAATAATAAAACAAGGGCATCCACCTTAGACGATCTCAAAAAAGAATACGCAACCAATGGCTCCTCTCAGGTGGGCCCCAAGAGGAAGCATCCAGGGACCTTTGGCCCATGTTGATAGGAGATGGAAAGCCTGCATGTCTTCCTTGGGTGAAGATGGGAACACCCTTCGGAGCTGTGTTTTTTTTCAAGGTGGTCCCGTGCGGGTGGGTTTTCACGTTTGAGTTTTCAGCAGCAGGGGTCATAGATGGTAGAAGTGAGGGACTGGCTTGCAGTAGGTTGCCCATGTCGTTTCCCAGCCAATCAATTTCGGGCACGCAAGTTGTTCCCCCCCCCTTTTGGGGTGGAGGGTTCCCTTTGCGCGTTTCTCAGTGAATTCCCTTGAGCAGTATACGTAGGTTGCCCATGCCCTCGACGCCAGTCCCTCGACACCAGCCACCTCGCGAACAACTCCTGTTTGCGTGTTGCACCGAAACCCCACTGCCTCAAAATATACGTGTATCGATACTAGGTCCTCCAGTAGAGAGGTTAGAATAAGAATAAGGGTACCCTTTTTGCTGTGGTCTATTTCAGTAGGGGAACCCTCCCCCCCAAAAAGGGTAGAAGGGAACTACTGGGGGACCTAGGATAAATATATATATATATAATATATGGGCGTGGCTCAAAATTAAACAGGAGGGGTTACGCAGGTGTTGGTCCATGTTTCCACTTACCAGGGTTCATGTTGGTACCGGTTTTTTGAGCCACAGCCATATACATACAGGTTTTGTGTTCACCACTCCACTCGCCTTCCCCAACAATATCAAGTCCTTGCCGATTGATTTTGGGAAGTGAGTTCCAGGGGGCCCTTGACTTATACCAGGGGCAAACCAAATGCACACATCCAAAGGTGCGTCAAAATCCCATTTGAATCCTACCAGTACATTACACGTATCTTGCTTGATGGCTACCCCTTGCCCAAAAAACAACTTTTTGCAGACTGGGGAAACTCGTACTTGTTTGACGAATAACTTAAGGAAACAGGATCCAATCTCGGTTGCTTTCTGCTCCCTGCTAAAAGTTTAACGTTTAGTGGTTTAATGGACAACCCATTCGTCGGCCAAAAGGTAAAGTCCTAACATACCATCCAAGCAAAATGCGCCAAAGCAATCATTCAAGGTTGCAGTATGCAGACTTGGAGATATAGTCCTTCGCGCAGATTCTCGGCAGCGTCACGATGCCCACATCATAGCCGCCTGCGGGATCAGCTCTCTGGAGCTCTTTTCCAGGAAAAAGACATGGCGCTCGGTTTTTGTCTTTGCCGGTTGAAGTCTTCTGGGCCTTCCCCCCAAAAAAACGGCAAAAACATAGATGGCGCCTAGTTGCTGGTATATATGTGGGTCTGTCTTTTTCGGAGGATTCCCCGTTTTGGGGCAGTTTGAAGGAAAACCAAAAGGAAACCATGCACTTTTCGGGGGGCTTCCTTCCAAAAAAGGGAAGGGAACTGGGGTGGAGCCGGAAAACGGTTTCATGTTGTAAACAAAAGGACCTAAAACACGCGAATCATACCCTGCTCCTCATAGAAGCCAGCTGGAAGTTAGGAGAAAAGCGCAAAGCGCAGGTGTTTTGCGAATGTAGAATTGCCTGCAGCTTTGAAAGAGGTGTTTGCGCCAACCGGAATCCCTGGAAACGGTTTGTAAAACCATCATAGATAAGGCATCTACCCAGCACGCATCTTCTGAACTTGTTCCGTATGAAACCCAGATTTCCATTCACTCTGATGGAAAAGGGGGAAGCCGTCTTTGGGGTGGTCATTTCTGGTCAGAAACCAACCGAAAAGGGAAACACGGTACCACTGAAAAACAAGGGTGTGCCCTGTCGACGTGTTCCACACTTGAGGTCTGTTAAGCCGCCGAACGCGGAAGCTACCAAACAACTTAACACACGGGATGGTAGTTCTGCCCCAACAATGTATGCTAGGTTCTCCAGTACAGAGGTTAGATTAAGGGTACCCTTTTCTGTAGGGGCACCCTCCCCCGAGAAAGGGTAAAAGGGCACTACTGGGGGACCCAGTATGCGTTGGGACGAGCCCCAACAGATTCATGGGGGGGGGGGGGGTCTCTAACAAACCTAAGTTATCCTTCAATCACGCGCTCCTGAAAATCTGACACAACCTGCCAGGACCTCAGCGGAATTTACAATTGGCTGGAAGAATTTGGCATTTTAAGGGCAGCCCAAGAACCAACTTGTTGGTGCGACAAGTAGGGAATGACCATTTCGGGTGTTGGGAATGAACCGGAAGGAGACTCCCTTAAAGGAAACCAAATTGGGATTTATTGTTCTCTCATTCTATTTCTCATTGCCTGCCAGCTGAGCACCAGCAAGAAACAGGTGAACAAAAATAGCGCAGGTCTGAGATCCGAAACAGCATCTTCCTTTTCGACGTCTCTCTCTGCACCAACATCGGCAAAACCCAAAGACCAACACTTGGCCCAAATCTCTGCCCTGAAATAGTAATGTAACACATATGTTTTGAGTAAGACCCCAGAACACCGGCCAAAAACCGGAAAGAGAGAGAGAGAGAGATGGCCATGGGTCCAAATTTCTACCCCCAGTGAACATCCCAATCCCTACTAAAATGGACTAAAATGGCCGGTGAATTCACCTACCCCAAAAGGTTACCATTGGTTTTAACCCACAGCCAGATGACGCCAAACTACCCAAAAGGAGATGCATCTTCTCATCTGGGAGCATCTGTGGTACATGGGAAAACAACTGTTGTCACTCTGTTCCATATTTGGTTCCCCTCCCCCACAAAAGACCAAAAACAAACACACACACACACACACACACCCACCCACCCACCCACCCACCCACCCACCCACCCACCCACCCACCCACCCACACACACACACACACACACAAACACACACACACACACCAAAAAAACACAAATCCATATTTGGTACCCACCCCAAAAAACACACACACACACAGAAACAACAAATACAACAAAAACTTGGAATAGACCCCAGCCTCCGTTTGGCTTGAAAACCAAACAAAAACGGTTTTTCGGCTCAGCCCGTCGGCGTGTGGCCAAGCCCGAGCTTTTCTGCGCGCCTATGCAGCCCAGCGAGCTGAGCACCGTGTTCAGGCAGTACTCAGCATCCAGCCAGTCGGTGATGCTCTTCAGGGCGTCCTGCGGGACGGGGTTCAGAGGTTATTTGGAAAACCCATACCCAAGATGGCTTGCCCTGGTAAGTGGAAACATGGACCGAAACCTGCGTAACCCCTCCTGTCTAATTTTGAGCCACACCCATTTTTGTTGCCCTGGTTAGTGGAAAACAACGGGGGCCCCAAAGCAAAGAAACAAAAAGGGGAGCAAATTTTGGGGCAGGTGTTTGGTGGCCATGGGTCAAAAGCCGAATCGTACCCCCAGTGAACATCCCAATCCAACCACTAAAATAGGTTCTAAAATGTGTGGTAAATTCACCTACCCCAAAATGTAACCTTGGCTTTGACCACCACAGCCACATGAGCAAAAATCACAAGCCCATGAGTCCCGAGGCCCCTGAAAACTTCGGGGCCCAAACGGGACCCTACTTCGGGCCTTTTGGAAGAATCGATGGGTTTTGCTGGTAAAGAGGGCATAAAACTCATCCAAACCGGTGGAGCCCATCGACTTTTTAGGCCAACTCACCTAAAAAGGGCATCTATGGTTCTTAGAGGACACACCGGGGTGACTGGAAACAGAATCTCCTGACACACGGATTTATGCCTTACAAAGACTGGGTTGCTGTTGACCCCGCTGCAAAAAGTTTGGTTTAGCGGAAAACCCCTTGATTTCCCAAAAAGTTAACGTCTAAAGATCCAACCCAATAGCAGTCAAGAAAAGGGGGCACCGCCCCTGATTGGTCTGCTTCTTCAGATTACAGCTGGGTGAAAGTACATAACTAGACAGCACAAGTTTTCTCAAATGTTGGTTTGGTCCTCCCCTATACTTACCAACCTAAAAGGAATTGTGCCATCTACTTCCCGTGGAACGTTCGGAGCATCACCCTGACGATGTGGGCTTTCCTAGGTAATTGCAGGTCAAACAACTAGAACCCTGCATATGGGTTCCCGAAACAAGAAACACAACCCCCCCAGAAAGGAGTCCAGGTCATTTCCGTGGCACATCCAACCAGGTCAGGTCCCGCGACACTTCGCGATTCGCGACTCCCAATGAACCCACCAGGCCAATCATGCCTCATGCCGGGGCCAAGGAGTCTGGCAAAACTAGACCCATTCCCTTGCCCAGAGGGTTTTAGTTGGTACCTCCTGATGGCTTCTGGGGGTAAAAAAGGGGTCTGAGTACCTCCTTAGAAGGTACCAAGGGACCCCAGAGGGTTGTTGTTTCCTTTGGGGCAAGTTAGATGTTTTGGCTGCACTTTCGCACCCAGAACCCCAGCTGAGATCGGAGAATTTGCTCCTGATCAATTCAGATTCTGTTTCACGCCACGCCAACGGAATGTGAAAAGTCCGAGACAGATCTTCGAATTCTAGTGGCCTATCGACTCTCCTTGAACTGGTTGGCCGGAGTACAGGCGCTGTTCAAAGCTGTGAGCACCGACTCTGCAGAGGTCTTCCACCTTGCCAACTTTGGTTGGTCATGATTTTTCTAAACTGCCGGGGGGGGGGGGGGCAAAGCGGTGCATGGGGCTGGTAAAACTTGGGGCCATCTTCAAAAGGCGGCACGTACCGGCCATATTTCTGACAACACTGGTCGAATAAGTGAAGCGGTCATTTGTGAACGTCGGACTGCTGCTGGGTGGAAGTAGATGGCACAATTCGAATTCTTGATGTTGGACAGTAAAGGGGATGAGTAATCCAAAATGAGGGAATCGTGCCATCTCCTTTCACCCAACTGTAATCTTGACAATCATACTAATCAGGGGTGGCTCCCTCTTTTGTCAGAAATTGTTCCATTTTGGGCAGATTCAATCTGATTGATATGGTCCTTCAATCCGAAATCAAAATTATTCCGGAACCTTCTCGAAACCATCCAGCAACCTGTGCTGAAAGTGCCCCAAAGCTAGGATTTCGGAACTTCCCCAGCCCAGAAGCCGCCCGGTACAGTTCTCACTATAGTAGGCAAGCAAGGGCAACCACCGTGTTTTATTGGAAAAAAGACAATACAAATGGCGGCGACCAAAGGGCAATTACCATGTGTTTCTTTTAGAAACAAGACACCTCCTGGTGACCTACTATGATTTGTAGCCCATGATTTGAACTATTCTCAGTAGGTACGATTTCACCATGCTTCAACATTCAATCAAAGTCATCATCAACAATACTTAGTTTGTAGTCATTACTAGTTTGTAACTCTGCAAATTAACAAAATAGCCCATGGTTGACGGGGCCTAAACTTGTTGGGCGCTGATCTCGAGGGATAAAACGAGACACTTCACTCCCCGTCATTGGACCCTGAGCTGTTAGAATCTCTGACACCTGAGGCTCCAGGAATCGTAGTGAAACAACAACCCACTGCATCACACTGGCCTCGGTTTCGCTTGTCAGACGCCAAGGCAAAAACTAGATCCCCTCTCTCTCGACACTGCCCTTTCTCCGCCCCGGAGAACTTTTCAATTGGCCTGCTCAGCTGCATGGAGAAACAAATGGTTCTCCAAAGCCATTGAAAAGAATTCAGTTGCTTCTTGCAGCATCCTTTTGTCCAGGATAAAGTAACTGCCTTGGAAAAGCTGGGAAGTTATATTGCCACAGTTCATATGCATTGTGACCGAACTGCCATGGGAATTTGGCAAGCAACCCACAATTCCTACTACTTTGAGGAGCGTGCCACAGTTGCTGGGCGTTGAACAGGGGGTATTGATTGCAAAACAAAAAACAACTCCGCGGCTGGCTTCCTTTTAAACCTCCGTTTGCTTAAGTCGCCTGGAAAAAAATATGTCCAGTAGTGAAAGATTCCCTTTAACACCAACAGGGGAAGATTTGTTTTTAAACTTAACCAAATGGAAGTAAATGACAACTATTTGGCATTTCTTGACGATTTCTATTAGCTGAGCGTTACGTGCGAGAACCCATTGTCCCAGGCGCTGGGACAAGCCGTCCACGGCGCTGGACAGCGTGCTGGTGGCGTCGGCCAACGGCTGGCCGGCCGTCTTGATACCTTCCTTCAGGCTGTTGATGGAGCCCTGGGTCGATCGGAGCCGCGCCACGGATCGGGTCGATTTGCCCCGCAAATATGAAGTGGTGGGCGGTACATGGCGGTGGACGAAATCCTCTTAGGCAGCACGAAATGAAAGCATGGTTGAAGCCATTGTTGGTATTTGCAGTTGAATCAGCAGAAACCAGGCTTTCTTAGGTGGTGCAGGCTAAAACCTGAGTCCATATCCTGGTGGTTTAATTTTGACCCATAGGCTACAGTATGACTATGTCCCAGATTCATCTCCTTTGGGAGTTCCGGAAACTGGTTCAACAAACAAAAACATATTATCCAGGTAAAAATGCAACACAACTCCATCTCAACAACTCATCACAACTCCATCCACCAACCCAACGAAACTCCGTCCAAAAGAACAACACACTTCCACCCAATCCATCCACCAACAAATCAACATTCCCCCCACCCGAAAACCCAACAACAAAAATCCGTCCACCCCAAAAATCCGTCCGCCAAACCTTTCCAAGCCCCACCCCAACGGCTCGACCCCAAGGAATCCACGGTCTCTCAGCTCCGCCGAGGCGCCGCGGCGCCGCCCAGCACGGATTCCACGTCGAAGCTGGAGGCGCTGTCCATCACAGCTGAGAGCTCCGACTTCCTCGCTCGGCGGCTCGGCGGGATCCGGGCACGCTTAAAAGCAACAGGCTCAGAGTGAGCGGAAAAAAACACATCCCGAGTGGATTGGCCAAAATGGCTTCCCAAAAAGTGACTGACAAAAAAGGGGCCAGTACACTCCAACCAAATGGCCATGGGTCAAAAGACGAATCGTACACCCAGTAAACCCTCCCAACCACAAAAGGGGTGAGAGAAAGGGCACCTAGCTGGGGGACCTAGCTTGGGGTAGGGCACGCTTAAGAAGCAACAGGCTTAGATGCCCTGAGTGGATTTCCATCAGAAAAAAATGGCATCCTTCTTGGTTGGTTGAGCTTCAAGGGGAACCCTTCCCCAAAAAAGGGGAAACCGGGCGCCACTGGGCAACCGGGGGTTCCTGAAAGAGTGCTATAGATCATGGCACATGAATCTATTTGTTGGTTTGGACTCGTCACACCCCCTCTTGAGGTACCCAAAGTCACACCATTCATAAGGGAACTTTTGGCACAGCAGGTACCAAGGGATCTTTGGGGTCCCATTTGGAACATTCCAAATGTGGGACCCCCAAAATGTGAGTAGCAGGAAACCCCAAAATGGTTGGCTTGCTTTTGGTGCTGCTCCTCCTACCGAACAAAAGGCTTGAAACTGGAGGTCGGGCACGGATACTGCAAATGGACTAGATCCACTTAGGCCTGGATTCTTTCTAACCGTCGACAGTACGTTTCCATTTAAACTCAACCAGGGTCTCAGAAAAATGTGTCCTTTCAGAGGGGTCCTTTCCTCAAGTTCGAAGGGTCCATGAGCATGCGGAAAGAAAGCGGCCATGCCATTTGGATGCACAAAACCCACTCAGCGGTTGGGAGAGTTGTTATAGCAGTCAACCAGTAGTCAATCGGGTTTCAATCCCAGGTGCCGATAGGCGTTTTTCTTCTTCTTCTTCTTCTTTTTGTCAACATCCGCAGCATGAACTTCCCTTAAAGAAAACACAACTCGACAAGGTGAATCTCAGATAAACCATGAAGCACATGGTGTCCCGTAAGGGGTCGTTTTCTGTTCGGTCGAGCCCTCTTCTTCGAAGAGTTCATGAGGCTGAAAACAAAACTGCGTGCTAACTAGCACCACCACCCAACAAGTGTGGTTTGCCCATGTTCAAAATCCACACTGGTGCGATGGGTAGGGAAGGACCTTCCGGGTGTTAGGAATGAACTAGAAGGGGATTCCCTTGAAGGAAACCACAAGGACATGTTGATAGGGGTCATTCCATTTTCTCATTCCCTGCATCTCTCGCACCAGCAAGCAAAAGCAGTCTAGGTCCTCCAGTAGAGAGGTTACAATAAGGGTATCTTTTTTTCCCTGTAGTCTATGTTAGTAGGGGAACCGTTCCTCCCAACCAAAAAATAAACGGGTGAGCGGTCGTGCACCAATTGCTGGGGGACCTGGCAGGGCCCCGGGTGCTGAAAAGCCGCTTGGCCAAGGCCCACTTCAGCACGTAGTCCTTCAGAATCAGGCCTCAGCCGAAGTCAATTCCCCGAGTTCAATACCCGGTCCGGGCAACCAGCAACCTTTAAGGCTAAGGGGAGACGGATAAAAACCAACACGCCGGCAGAACCGGTGGTTTAAGCCCCATTTGAGTGGGAAGCAGTGCGGTTTGTTGAGGCTTGACGGAATGGGGCCAAGGGACCACGAAAAAGTGAACCAGGCGCAAATCCTTTGTGGGACACTGGACGATTCGTTGCAGAACCACAGCTGGGGTCCTCCAGTAGAGTGGTTAGAATAAGGGTACTCTCTGTTCGGTTTTGTCTATTTAGTAGGGGAACCCTCCCCACAAAAAAATGGGCAAATGGCCACTACTTGTGGACCTAGACAGTCTTGAGAACATACTGAGGTTATCAAACATATGGCTGCGCTGGTTTGGAGCCGTGCTACCATGGTTGCTATGCCGGCCCTCCGTTTCAGTGGATTCAACCCCCGTCATCGGTTGCCTCATTCTAGCCAGGAGCTCACCAAGCGGCTTCCATCGACTTCCTATGCCTGCGGAATGAAAAACAACAACACGCGCGCAGTCTTTCTGTCACGCCTGCGACAACACGGCTCTGGCACAGGTTGTGGTCAGAGAAACAGGTGGCTGGGTGACAACAACAGAACACGCTGAACAAATGTCTCCCTTCCCAAGTGAGCGAAGCCCAGCGGAGTCCGAAAAACCCACAACCGAATACTAGCTTGGCGAAGAACATTGAACGGTCCAGGCTCGAATCACATTTCGAGCCTAAAACTCCCCCGACCAAAAACCATCGGGTTTCAAGAGGCCGCTGAGGCACTGGGCCACTGCGACAGTCCCCCCAGTTTCAACCAACAGCTCAACTCATCCAAACCACCAGAAAGGGATTTGCCGAATAAGGGCTACCTCAGACATATCGGGCAAATGGGTGGATAACCCACAAAAGGTTGCTGTATCTTGTCAGAATATGTGGAAAACAAGACATAGTGAAAATTGTTTCCTTTTGGAGGTACTTCCCCATTGACGTGGCACACCATGAAAGGCCTGTTCAAGAAGTTGATCTTCAAGATCGCTCCAAGCCAGACAAAGGTCGATTTCGATCAGGCGACATTTATTGCCATGCCAGGATGGGCAAGGCGGACCGCTATGACCACCTGCGTGTTCGTTTGTTTCATAGACTTGCATGGGTTGCAGAGGCGGAAGAAAAGTCATGTGTTTCCAAAAAGTTCCAAGCAAAGGTGGCCTTTTGGAAAAATAGATGGCCCTGGTAAATGGAACAAAACCCATCTAAACCAGTGCCATCTATTTTTACCCAGGCTCACCTAAAAAGGACACCTATGGTTCCAAGGGGCCGTTCGGTCACAACAAAGACCAGCCATGGGATGAAGAGTATGCGAATCTTGTCCACCATCCCGCCAAAAGTGGCGGATTCCTCTGGCAGTCCTCCATTTGCTTAAGCCCCCTGAACAAATAAAATATGTCCAGTAGTGATAGAGTCCTTTTAAAACCAACAGGGCACTTACAAACAAAAAACCAAAAACAAAACAAAAAAAAACAATGGAAGCAGCATGCCGAACTTGTCCGCCAAACTTAAGCTTGATTCTTGTGGACTTTGGCGCTTCGTGAGTCGGGGAATCCCCAACATTTGCGCTTTCCCTTGCAAACGTCCCGCCCAAAAGCCACCCCACAAAGGGTACCAACTCCAAAAAAAGACCTCGATTTGCTTAAGTGCCCTGGGGAAGAATGAGAAAACCAATTTCCTAGTGATTGATTATGTTTAAGACCACCAGGGGGAACAACTATTCATTTCAGAATGGACGCAGAGACACACCACGATGAAAAGAAACCCTCCATCGATGGCTGGGGCCGTGGCTGAGCTCGATCACCCGCTCATCGAGGCGCATGAGGTTCCAGAAGCCCAAAGCGCCTCGGAGCCAAGCTGGTGGCTCTCCCCCCCCCCCCCCCCCCGGGCGGTTTTTTTCGGCTGGTGGGTGATTGTTCAATATTTTTAGTTGGACCCGGAAGGGTGGACATCATTTGGGGACTCATGTCCACCAAGCACTTTGGAGGTTCCCCATTGAAATTCATAGCCATTTGAGTTTCAGTACCTTGTTCGAGGTTGGTCATTGTTGGCACAAATTTGGAGGAACATGGGGTGCGGCGGGAGACGGGCGTGGCATGTGAACTTAAACAGTCATTTCAGCAATCTGCTTCCTGAATCGGGGGCTTACAAAGCGGCGAAGTCTCTACTTCGCTCGACTCGAACCCGAGTTGCATTGACTGCCTTGTGCGCCATAGTGCTGGTTTTCTTGATAGAAAGATATAGAACACATTGTGTTGGCTGGATCAAAACTCCTTATGTGGGCCATGGTCATGGTGCCCTTAAAAGACATCCTTGTATTGGCTACAATATTAATAATGTAAACAACCTGCTAAGATACTCGAGTTAGGGGCGATAACAATCCTTACTAACCCCAAGCAACGCAAACCAATGGCACATGTGTGCCAAAACATTTGCATGCCGGGAGGTGAGCCAAATGGTGTCAGGTTGCTTTCTTTGTTTTGTTATGTTCTCCTTGTTTGTTCATTTGTTTGCTTGTTTGTATGTTTGTGTTATTGTTTGATTCAATGGCGTTTGTGCACTGACTTCCACGGCTTCAGGTTGGGACCACTGCAGGTGACTTGGTTCAACAGGGAAGGGTCCCGTTCACAAAAAGGGTTCCGGACATGTCTCGGCAAATGATGCCAAATGAGAGGAGGTCCCCTTGGTTTTGGCCAGCTTGCGGCTTCCCTCAAAGACCAACAGGAAGTGCCGGCAAGAATAGGGCTGATCATAAGGGCCCCCCTACCCACCAGGGTTCTCAGAATCCTTGTGTGTTTACATAATATTCCCCTGATCGTGCCTTAACTTGGTGTTCACGGACCCCAAGACACTATTGTAAGTATTTTAGACATCGAAATTTGAGGTGAAACGAACCAGGCCAAGTTTGAATGGACCGGCGGGCAAGGCAGCGAGTCAGGGCCCAAACAGGGTTGGGTGTGAATTTGTTTGATGGTACCCTTCGAGGACCATTTCAAAGGAAACCATGGTGCGTTTTGTCTTCCACGCGGAAATAATTGTTCCAGTTCCGCACCCAGTCCCCGCATCAAGTGCATACTGTGCAACAGTGCGGCTTACCTGATGCCCACAATTATCGTGAGACACAATCATCTCCTGGTGCTACGTGGGTCTACTCAAATCATGTACAGAAGAGGGCAGGTCTTCCGCCCATGGGGACTGGCCCCAGCATTCACCAATGGCATTGAGTTCCGTGAACGCAATCACATGAAACAAACTCACCCGTTCTCAAGGTGGGACCCCTTTTGCCTAGGTTTCAAAGGGAGCATAAAGGGCACCAGCCCGTCCCCGATTTTGATTTTGAGAACCACCCGGAGTCCGGACATCGCACGAGCCTCGACTTGGCGCTGTACATATTCATATCTCAAGGGGACCCAAAAAGCTCACTTGAGTCACAATCAAAACCCGGTACTAAAATGGTCGACCCAGAACCACGTAAAGAATTAAGAAGGCGGATATCCGCAGCTGTGTATGGCAAGGGGATTGTCCCTTTACTAACATTCATCTACCCGAATCGGTTTTCAGCACGTGGCTCACTTGCATGTCGGCCACCCTTTGTGGTCTCGAAATCTTGGGCCCTCGGATCACCTGCCAACAGCTTTTAATTGGCGGGGTAGATGGAAATCCAACGGCTAATGAGCTAACAAGCCATAGCAGCCAAGAATAAAGGACCCCCCCCTTTTCACGAGTTCTAAGGAGAGGACACCAATTTGGGGCAGCCCAGGCTTTGGGGTCCGGGGTAGCTCTGAGGCCAGGTTGGGTTTTGCGGGGTTCCGCCGAGGTGTTTTTCGCTCGAGATCCGCATACTCCAAAGAGGCGATTTGTTTGGGGGGCCTCGTCCTTGCTCATAGAACCAAAGTTTCCAGGTGATCTGTTTCTGCTTAGAACCAAAGCACTCTGGAAAAGGACACCCGGTGCAAAACAGCACATTTTGGTGTGATTGATGTGTCAAGCGAGTGATTCGGGTGCGCAAAAAGAAAGGCAGCCGCCCCCGTCAAAAAAAATAAGAGTACCCCGGGTTGCCAAATATGCTATCGACCAACTTGTAGGGAACCGGTGATGGTCGACTTCACACAAGTGGCAACACCCTCAATCAATCTTTTGGACAAAGGGGTTGGCCAACTGCAAGCTCTAGCAACAAGGTCCTGTTGGCTTGCATGTTTGGCAAAGGGTACATGGGCGTCTTTTTTCGAGAAGCCACGAACCCAGCCCCTCCTGTGAATGAAATAGGACCTAGTTAGCCGAGCAAAGAGGCCAATGAAGCCGTGGGGCTCGTTTCCAACTCTGTCGCTTTGCTGGCAGCCACACTGGCAGACAAGCCCAGGCTGTCCTTGGACATGGGTTTGCCTACCAAACGGGTTTCCAGCTAATGTTGACCCCGTATTGGTAATCCCCCCCTATTAAACCGGTCCGGGTGCCCCCATCCACTAACTCAGAAAGCCGTCAATAAAAGTGGGTTGAAAAACTGTTGAACCGTTCCCTCCGCCAACTGGGTGCTGCTATCTCATTTTCCCCATTGCTTCTTGAGTTCATTTCCTGGAAATGGCTGGAAATGCCTGTCACATTGACAACTCACATCCTTGGATGCTTTGCCCCCTGCCCAAACCACAAAAAAACGAGGCTTCAGAAATGGTCGATTTCTTATTAAACCCCTTACAAAAAGATGTAAGTTTAAAAGGTTTCAACAGGTACACCACGTTGGCCCCTTGCACCCCCATATAATATGGTCCATCAGTCCAGCAAATCCCAACTCCAAATCTCAAACGGAAGCTCCCGCAATACCAAACCAAATGGTGACTCAAATCCAAATCTCAAAAAGCAAAGGAAGCTCCAGCAATACTAAATCAAATTTCGAAAGAAAGCTCCAGCAATACCAAATCTAAATGGAAACTCAAAAGACAAATATGAAAAGGAAGCTCCAGCAATACTAAATCCAAATGGAAACTCAAAAGACAAATCTTGAAAGGAAGCTCCAGCAATATTAAATCTAAATGGAAACTCAAAAGACAAAAAAGAAAAGGAAGCTCCAGCAATACTAAATCAAATGGAAACTCAAAAGAAAATATCAAAAGGAAGCTCCAGCAATACTAAATCTATATGGAAACTGAAAAGAAAATCTCAAAAGGAAGCTCCAGCAATACTGAATCTATATGGAAACTCAAAAGACAAATATGAAAAGGAAGCTCCAGCAATACTAAATCAAAGGGAAACTCAAAAGAAAATCTCGAAAGGAAGCCCCAGCAATACTAAATCCAAATGGAAACTCAAAAGAAAAATCTCGAAAGGAAGCTCCAGCAATACTAAATCAATTGGAATCTCAAAGGAAAATATCGAAAAGAAGTTCCAGCAATACTAAATCTAAATGGAAACTCAAAAGACAAATATGAAAAGGAAGCTCCAGCAACACTAAATCTAAATGGAAACTCAAAAGACAAACATGAAAAGGAAGCTCCAGCAATACCAAATCTAAATGGAAACTCAAAAGACAAATATGGAAAGGAAGCTCCAGCAATATTAAATCTAAATGGAAACTCAAAAGACAAATATGAAAAGGAAGCTCCAGCAATACTAAATCAAATGGAAACTCAAAAGAAAATCTCGAAAGGACGCTCCAGCAATACTAAATCTAAATGGAAACTCAAAAGACAAATATGAAAAGGAAGCTCCAGCAATACTAAATCAAATGGAAACTCAAAATAAAAATCTCGAAAGGAAGCTCCAGCAATACTAAATCAAATGGAAACTCAAGTTTACCAATACTAAATCAAATGGAAGCTTACCATATTGGAGGCAGGCCAAAAACGTTCCAAAATGTTGTCCCCTCAACACTCTGACCTTCAAGAGGGGGGAGGTTTAATAATACGGTGTCAATAGTCACAAAAACACACACCCGCATGCGTGAAGTGCAGAGCCAATCAAACAACAGGAACCTCAACGTCCCTCTCACTTGTCCAGACCTGGAAATCAAAGGTCTACCTGATGGCAAACTACAATATGAGGGACTCATCTGGCATGCTGCTCATGTGATAATGACCGAGTTTGCCTGTGACGAACCCCACAGACCTATGCTTACCTTTATACTACACGAATCGAAACAAGAACACAACAAGGTGAAAAGGTTGATTTCAATTGAACAACTGGGCCCTGCGACCCCCGGGCCTGAGCATAGCTCACATGTCTGGCTACAGGTATGGTTGTGGCGGTACTGTTCGGCTTTCATTCCGCCTGCTTGTTCGGGTAGCTAAGTGTCTAACGCGGATAGTTGATATTGTGGTTGTGAGACACGGGTGCTTCCAGAAATGGGAGGGCATCCGACAACCTCCATCGTATTTGCGGGCTTTCCTTCCAACACCACTCAACCATGGATCCAGACACTATGCTACCGGGCGGCTGTCCAACATGATTTGGATGTGGGTCGTGATCTCCCGTCAAAGCGGTTTTGAGCTTCAAGTCGTCACTCGTGTTTCTCCCAAGCCAGGGGACGTTCAGGTTTCGAAAGCATGGATCTAGGTGCAAGTTCCCCATTCTAAACCCAGGGATCCTTCTTTCTAGAAAACCTCCTTCGAAACCCATGGAAAATGGATCCGGTTTTCGTTTAAAGAACGATGCTTGGAAAGAATGGGAAAATCATCCCCTAGACAACCCTAGGTTATGAAAGGATAACCCGGAAAAAAATGAAAGGAGAACCCCAAAAAAACATTTCTCTACTCTCCGCAGAATCAACCCTCAGAATGGAGCCCTCTTGCCTGGCCGAAGGCCAGAAACCTGCATAGGCCCGAGTTGAGTGTATGTTTCTGCTGTCTTCGCATTCTAAAGACTGTCATTTGGCTGTCAAAAACGGGTATCCAACATGGCTTGCCCTGGTAAGAACCCATGACTAAAACAGGCGGTCCACTGGTGGTTTAATTTGGACCCACACCCATTTGCCAAGGTGCGCCACTTTTTTAGTGACACCTTTGCCAGTAACGACCGTTTCCCTTCAAAACTAGGGGCAAATTGCAGAATCGAAACGAAATAAAGCAACAAACCAAAACCAGCAACGAGTGTTCGCAAGCTTCCAAACCCAAAAGCATCTGTCTTTCAAAGGGAAATGTCCTCGAAGCGTGTTTGGAAGCACGACCAACCGGTCTTTGAATCACACAAGGCGGCAACTGCTACCTTTCAGTGGCCATTAATGCCGGATACCCTTTGGTAGGAAATTAACAATTATGTGATACCAAAGCGGGATTTCTGTCTCAAAGACTCGATCTAGCTACCGTTAACGGGTTCTTCCCTTGGCCACTCACAGAAAGTAGCCCTAAAACCAAGAGTCATGGCTCAAAACAGGGAAACATTTCTTCCGAAGTCGGATTTCTCCTCGTTGCTTAGGGAAAAAACACGGCTTCCTTTGAACACACATTTGGCGCAAAAGAAGTCTTTGGCGCCCAACGGCGAGCTGAACACAAAGCTTGGTTGCTGCAAGGACCCCCCTACAAAAAGTTGTTCACTGTTTGGGGGTTTGGTGGAACACCCCATTGTCTCCCAAAAAGTTGAAGTCTAAAGATCCAAGCCCATAGTCAAGAAAGAACGGGGGAAAAAACAAAAACAAAAATCCTTTGAACACAAATTTTGGCGCATTTGGGGCCCCAAAACCGAGCTGAGCGGAAAGGAAAAGTCGCGTTGAGCCGGGGGTCGGTGAGATAGCTGGTCAGAGAGGCCTTCAGCTCCGTGAGGCTCGTGGCTTTGATCTGAGAGGAAGCGGAAGCAAGCGCCCGAGCCGCGAGGCAAATCCGTGGGGAACAGCACGGGCTAGACTCGCTCGTTTTTGCCGGCGGCCTATTTGGCTATGAATTTTAGTAAGGGACCCTCTGGTCATTTAGGCGGGGATTCATGTCCACCAATCACTATGGCCATTTCAAAGGGCCCACCCCTTCCATGAAATACAAGGAAGCGGTCTCACTGTCTGGGAAGGCTCACCCTTGTCTTTGAATGGGGAACCCTCCATATGGATAGGGTTCCTTTCCTGTTCATCAAGCCCAAACAGGGTCCCGTCAAAAAACAACCTAAGGCTAAGCATCTTCTGGGGGGATGCGTAAAACTCTTTTCAGCCCTCCAATACCAACAGCTTGGGAAACGTCCCAAGCGGGACGTCAATCGGCCGCTTCCATTCGACCGACTCCATAGCCGTCTTAAAAGGAACCAAGGAATCTGGGTGAATTATAATATTTCACCAACCTGAAATACGGTGGTTAGGGGGGCTATTCCCACATAAACCACCATTTGGGGTGAGGTTGTGTGAGGTCGTTACAATTCCCCCAGCAGGAATAAGTTCAAGCTTATTTGCTTCGCGTCTCTTCGATCAAGCTTTTGAACTGCACTGGAATGGGAGGTTTTTCCCAGAACTCACATTTCGGAAAAGATCAGACCCCCTTGTGATTAAGCTTCAATGGGCTTGTTTTACCCCCCACCCCCACTGGTCATCTGTGCAGACTCAGTGGATCGGAATCAAGGGCGAATCTGAAAGGCGGCACTGCGACCAATTCCGGCCGCGCTTGGGGAGTGCTGGAGTTTTTGAATTCTGCTTCAGAACCTTAAGCTCCGTTGCCCAAAACACCTGGAACTAAAAGGTTAACCTTTTGACGCCATGACTAAAAATGGACCAGCATCGGGAAACTAAAAGGTCAAAAGGTCGGCTTTGAACAACTGAGTAAGGGTAGCTCATGTCAAAGGCTGCATGAACCAATGGCGGTATTGTATTTCTTTTGGGGAGTGGGTGGGTGGGTGTCCCGTTTGGAGATCAGCATGCCCATGGATGAATCCCTGGTACGGACCTTGGTTTGTGGAATTGCATCCCCATGAATCCTATCAAACTTCTCATACAGGACCCAAACTTCTCTTTTTGCTAAAAAATATATACATATTTTTTTAACAAATGGGTTTAATGGAACCCCTCATAACTCTTATTGGGTTTCATGGAACCCCTCACTAAACACCAAAAAGCTAAACAGCTACGGAATCAGATGCCCGGGAAGCACCAAAAGATTTCGGATGGAGGCCGCGCTTTTGGAGAAAGACCCCTGGGATCCTATCCGAACTTTCCAGTTGAAGGACCTCCACTCCGCGGCTTTCCCAAAGCCGCGGAGCTTTTCTGAGTGCCGGGCAGTGGTCACTGCAGTGTTCACCACGGTGCTGATGGCAACCTCCAGGATTGAACTTGGCAAAGCTCTTTGTTTGTTTTGATGCAAAGCCGTGCATCTGGGTGAATTGCTATATTTCACCAACCTGAAACTTGCAGCGGTTGGGGGGCTATTCCAACCACATAAACCCACCATTTGGGGTGAATTCGGTCGTGTGAGGTCGTTATAATTCATCCGGATGCATGGAAAATAATCTGGAGAAAGGTTTAATTCAGTTGCATGGGACCCCCGAACCCTCATAGCCCCTCCCCCCATAGCCCGGGCTCGGCTCCAACGCATCCAGGAAGGTGGTGTGATGGCAAAACTTGATCACAAGGAAGATTCCCTTGAGAAACTGGCCCTAAAGCACGATGTTTTCCAAAACCCTGGCGCATGCTCAGGCCGATCAACCGACGCGTAAGCCACTTAGAGAAAAAAAACACGTCCTCGGTCGATATGAAGCAAAAGGATTCCATGCAACCGGTGAGCCGTGGACATCCCAAACTCCGAGACGAACGGATCAAAGGCTCTGCTCCAGAAGGCAGAAGTTTGTTGCTGTCGGAAGCGTGAGAGAAACGCCAACATGCGTGGTTCGGCTCGCTCAAGGCCCCTGCTTGACATTTGCGTTGCGTTGGATTTCCTTCACCTTTTGTCATTGCAAATGAGAGACACCTTGGTTGATGTTGGAAGGAAAGCAAAAACAAATGAAAACTTTAGCAGTTCTTTTGTGGTGGGGATTTCCCGCTGTAAAACAACAAAAAAAGCTTCCCAACCACAACCATGGCTACGAGCGGGAAAAGAAATGGACATCCAATCGAAGCCTCCAGGGACTTCATGATGCCGTTCCCCACCACGGCTTCAAAGACCGCCAGGAGGCCTCCAAGGTGTGCCGCGCGTTTGCCGCTGACTTAGGGGCTCTAGCGGAAAACGCCCAAGGGCGCGCCTGAGAAGTGACTACATGCAAAGGCCGGTCAGAGAGGGCAGCCAAAGTAAGAGGAACCTGGTTTGGGTCAATCTCTTGAGTAAACAAGGAGATCATTGCTCGAAAAATAACAGCTTTCTCCTAAACCGGATATCTGGAGTAGGGGCAAGAACTGCTTGTCCCATGATTCACAGATTCATCCCAACTGGTGCAGGATTTTGTCTCCACCACGGTATCAAGAAGATTCATGGAACCCATGCCCAGCCTTTCTTCCAACTGGATGAAACCCTATGAATCATTCGTGAGATAAACGACCCGCCTACAGCCACAAAGTCCGTCACGGAGTGATGTAAGAGTAAGCAAGCAAGATGAGCCCTAAGTATGGCCAACTTAACCATTCCTGGGCTGCCCTCAGATCCCCTGCTAAAAGTTTAACTTTTAGTGGGTCAAATGATTCCCCCCCCCCCTAAACGCAAAAAGTCTAAAAAGCTAAGGGGATGGCTGGGAGCCACCAAGAGAAATTGACCATGGCTTAATTGTGGGAAGCCAGCCCCAAACGGGTCAACGGCTCCAAGATGGCCTCTGAGCAAGACACCTCCATCCAGCAAAAAGCCACTGCATGTACCCATGAAACATGATGCCTCGAATTAAACACCTAGAACCGTCAATGGACCCTGATTCCTCTTTTCCGTGGCGGGTCTTTTGCTTCCAGTGCCAACGACCCTAAAAGCACACCTCCCTCAAACTTCGAGAATCACGCTATGGAAATTGGCCCACCTCCCCAAAACCACCATACTATGTATTCGGAGTAGAGGGAACATGTTCTGGGTTTCCAGAAGGCTGACCAAACGACAACGCACATCAACTTGGGTGAGATGGGTTCTGCCAAATGGGTGCTACACACGTCCATCGGCGCCTGGTAGGAATTAAAGGGGCCCAATCCCTCCAAAACAAGGGTATTTGGGAAGGACACCGCCCCATCGCTCAAGAACCTTGAAGGGTGGTTTATCATCTCTCAAGAAATGGTTCAACTATTCGCCTTTCTGGGGTATGTTTTTTTTTTGGGGGGGGTCCAACAAACGTTCAACTATTACCCTCTTTCCAATGGAAGTGGATAGGGGACCAGGTACCCTAAAAGGACAGCCTTCGCCTTTTAGAACTGAGTTTTATGATCGTAGGGTACCCATCCCCCAGTGGTCTACTTGCTTGAGTCCCCTGGACAAAAACACATTTCCAGTCGTGGTAGATTCCCTTAAAAGCCAACAGGGGGATGATGGTAAAGGTGTTTTTTTGTTTTACTAGGTCCGGTTTGTTGCTAGGTCCGGTTTTCCGCAAAGCTGCCAACCAACCCATCACCGGACACAATAAAAAAACAGACCTAGCAACTAAAAAAAAAACACTACCTCCGGGGATGATACAACCAGGCTATGGCTCAGAATTGATTGAGCTGTTCGCGTCTTTGGTTCCGTTGGGCTCCATCGTTTTTTGGCCACGGCCTACTGCTCTTTTCTCTGTTTGTTGGGTACCCCTCGTTGCTTCGGTTTCAGGGAAATTAAGAGGAAACCGACGCCATTTGTTGCGTCCAATTCGCAAAAAACAACACACAATCACACGCGACCGCCATCTTGGGGCGGCCTAACAAAAGCACAACGACACGCCCAAACATGCCCAAAAGAACACCACCACTTTGGGGCGTCCAATGATACCAAGAAATATCAGATACCAAAGACAATCCCATCACTTTAGGGCGTCCAATGATAAAAACAGCTCAGATGCCCAAAAAATCCCCACCACTTTGCGTTCAATGTTAAACACAGACGCACCAAATCACATGCGAAAGGCGGAGAAAAAAAGGCATAACTTTTGGGCCTCCAATACAAACAGACCTCCAATACAAACAGACGTTGGCCACACGCCCAAAAAAACGCCACCCACTTTGGGGCGTCCCATGCTCCGCGACAAACACATATTCATATCACAGCAGCCCAAACCCACAACAACACGCAAACATGAAACCGCCATCTTGGGGCGTCCAAAAAGAAAACGAAACCACACGCCCAAAAATGCCAAACAAATCCCACCACTTTGGGTCGTCCAATGATGGAAAAAATCAGATGAACAACACGTCCTGCCCAAAAATGCCCCAAAAGATCCAACCACTTTGGGGCCTCCCATGATAGAAACAGCTCAGGTGCCAAATATCCCACCACCTTGCGACTTCCAATGATAGAACAAATCAACAAACAACACACAACAACAATCACAAATCAGATGCCGAAACCCAATGATACCAAAAAAAAGATACCAAAACAAAAACACCACTTTGGGTCGTCCAATAGAACCAGCTCAGATACCACAAAAATCCCATGCCAAAAATCCAGATGCCAATGATACCAAAGTCCTTTTTTGCCAAAAAACAAAACACAAATCCGGGTGCCACCAGCGCCCCGGCAACGCCCACTGCTCTGCGTCCCGCGAGCGCTGGGCGGGCGTCGGCTCGTTGCTCGCGCGGGGCCCGCGCGCCTGTCTTCCAGTTGGGTGCGTTGGCCACCAGCCCCGCCACCGCCGCCAGGCCCGGGGGCATTGGCAGCGCCTCCATGAGCTCGTCCGCCCGCGCCTGGGACCTGCCGAGCGCCAAAACGGCGGAAGGCGCCCGGGAAACGCGGCGCACGTGGGGCGCGTGGCGCGGCGTTTTTTTTCCTAGTGCTGCCCCCCCCCCATTTTGGCGCTGAGAGTCAAAAAAAAGCCGCTCTTTTTCTAGTGCGCCGTCTCCGAAGTGGCACTTTGAAAAGGAGACAGCCACTTTGAAGGTTGCCTCACTTTCGCAACCATACATGTTCTTGCTGGTGCTCGGTAGGGAATGAGGGAATGGAACGGCCGCCCTTTAGTCTAGCCTTTTATTCATTCCCATGAATTGGGACAGGTTCAGGGGTCTGAAAGGGGGGCGCGCGTGGTTCCAAGGTTGGCTAAGGCGTAGATTTGAAGGCTTCCAACTAGGTCCTCCAGTAGAGAGGTTAGAATAAGGCCTAGGGGTGGATCCCTGGTTGAGCTCGTTTTGCCAAGGTTCTAGTGGTACCTTCCCCATTCTTTCCAGGGATCCTTCTTTCTAGCAAACCTCCTTTGAAACCCAGGGAAACGGATCCGGTTTTCGTTGAAAGAACGATGCTTGGAAAGCATGGACACGGAATCAAGCCTTAGACTTTTGGTGTGCCTAGATCGCCAAGTTCCGCTGGTTTTTGGGGTAAAGTGCATGCACAAAACGCAGCAACTGGCGATCCAGGTGGAGAAGGGGGGTGCCTTAGGTCTCCCACCCCAAAGATTCGGGGAAGAGCTTGCCCCCATGGAGAAATTTCGAAATGACTCGCGGAGGGAGGCTGTACAAGATTATTCCAAAACGTGTATGTATATATATATATATATGTATATTAGGGCTTCTCTGGTATATGAAGGACCTGTCTCCAGATCCATTTGGGTGTGTCTCTTTTCGAGGGTACCCCTTGTTTGGTAGTTTCTCCATTCATACCAACAGGAAAACCGAAAATCCGATTTGGGGGGTCTAAATCAAAAAACAACCAAGACACAGCCAAGCAATCTGCCGAAACCGCGCCTTGCCAATGCTGCCTCCACCTTCACCTTCATCTGCGCCTGGCAACTCGAGGCTTCTGACCTTTTTCCTTGCCAAGCAAAGGGCTCAAAAACAAGTGCCTTGGTATGATCATAATTCCTTACATGGCTCAGGGTAGACCATTTGAGCACCAGATTTTGATTATGACTCACTTTGAATTGGCCCAAAAGGTGTTGTTTAGAACCACCCTTAGATAATTGTGGCTAATACTTGAATAGGAAGCCACCTCAAAAGTTGCTGGTGGACCAGCAATACCACCACATCCCTATCTAAGTGATGTCCACCACAGGGTTCCTCACAAAAAAAACATGATATGTGGAATTTAGCCTCTTACATTACACTTCGCGGAACCAACTTGATCTTTACCCACTTGCAACCAGAACAAAAGCGCAGCCAGTTCTTTTTGGAATCGAGTCCAACTTTTTAGTGGGTCGCGAACCCAGCACCCTTTTTGGAACCATAAAGGGAGTTTAAACTGCAACCTCCCAAGAAGCCCATGACAAAGGGTCCAAGACCGCACTACCCTTTAATGTAAGCCAACCCAAAGAGAAGTTCCTGAAAAATGGCAGACCCTTGTCAGGCTGAAACATAACGAACATAATTGTGATGCACCGCCCCATGAATTCGAAGCTCGTGGATATTTATAAGGTCTCTGACCTACCAGTTGAGTTGTGTTCTTGATAAATCAGATGCAAAATCCAAGACACGTCCAGCACCGGGGAAAGGACCCATTGTGCGGGTTGCAGGTGAGGGAGAAGAACAACTTGGAGACCAACAGGCGCCCTTTCTGACAAGCGTTGAACTTACCCTTACCCAACAGCAAGTCTTTGAGGTAGTCCTTTCGTTCATTGTCCCTTCCATAACTGAAAGGGGTTTCTCCCTTAATGTTGACTCTTCAATGATGGTTCCTCTTCAGGTATGCCCCCCAAAAAGTGATCCGGATACCCCTCCCATGGGACACCCGCCAATCAAAACCATCCTGGCTTTGCTAGTCCTGGGTTCACATGAGTCACAATCAAAACCCGGTACACAAATGGTGAACCCAGAACCATGTAAAGAATTAGAAAGGCGGCCGCAACTATTTATGGCTGGGATTGTCCCTTGCTAACCTTCATCTACCCGGGTTTTGATTGTGGTTCACATGAATTCCCAAGAAACTGAGTGAATCCCCCCCCCCCCTCCCCGCGATGTGTTGCAGCAAGTTTGAAATAAACCCACCCAGTAACTGGGGGATGGGTAAACCGTTTGCACCAACCGGTTCCCCAAAGGTGCAGGGACTCCTCACGTCCTGAGTGGATCACTCAAAAAAGCCCAAAGCTTTTGTTTACCCAACAAAAGTGTTGAAGTCCGAAAAAAACAAGTCCGAGAAGAAAAAAACGAAGAAAGTCCGAAACAAAATAACAAAAAAAGTCCGGACTAAACTGATTTCCCAAAAATGTGTTTGAAGTCGGAAACGGAACTCAGTGAGTGAGACTCACATCCACATGCCCAAGTTCCAGGAGTACCTTCCCCAATTCTTTCCAGGAATCGGCGATCGGTTTTTGAAAAACGGAACGACGGTTGCAAAGAAGTCCAGGAAACCCAAAACAATCCGGGACAACTTCCTGACACTTCCAGAAACCCAAAAAATCCACCCCTAGACAAAAATTCGCTTGCTCCAAACACGAATCCATCTTTCTAGGAACCCCCCCCCCACTTCCAGAACCTCCAGTTTAATACGGAAAACCCATTAGTTGGCAAAAAGTTCTCAAGTCCCAACATCCCTTGGCAAGCTGCAAAGCAACCTCCAGAAACCCAAGAAAAATGCCCCCCCTCGACCCAAATCCGCTCGCAAACATGAGCCCTCCCATCTGACTAAACCCCAGATGGGAAAGAAAAGAAACCCCCAGAAACCCCCAGAACCCCCCAGAAACTTCCAGAAACCCCCAGAAACCCCCAGAAACTTCCAGAAACCCCCAGAAACCCCCAGAAACCCCCCAGGCACCCGGGGAAAACGGCTGGTTTCTGGGAAACAGAACGATGCTTGAAACCGCTCCCAACGCTCCCAACGCCCTCGACTCCTCGACCCTGGGCTCCTGCAGCGCCGCAGCCAGGTCTTGCCCGGTGTTGGGGATGGAGGCCATGGACATGAGCATGGCTTCGATCTTGGCCTGGGTCACGCCTCAGCATGGAGAAAACCGAAGGAAAGCCAGGGGTGGGAAAACTGGGAGCAAACCGCGGGAAAATCATAGGAAAACCAGGAAATGCATAGGAAAACCAGGGAAAACCATAGGAAAACCATAGGAAAACCAGGAAATGCTGCATAGGAAAACCAGGGAAAGCCATAGGAAAACCATAGGAAAACCATAGGAAAACCATAGGAAAACCATAGGAAAACCATAGGAAAACCATAGGAAAACCATAGGAAACCCACAGGAAAACCACAGGAAAACCATAGGAACACCAGGGAAAACCATAGGAAAGCCATAGGAAAGGTAGCAGGAGATGCAGTAGGAAACAAAGGGAGAAACCATAGGTAAGACGCTAGGGAAAGGACCAACAACATGAAACCATTGGAAAACCATAGGGAACGAAAGACACCAAACAACACCCATATGACAACCCATCGGAAACTCAGAGGTTTCGGAAGGGCAGGGAGGGAGAGTGTGGTGTCTCTCTGTGTGTGTGTGTGTGTGTGTGTGTGTGTGTGTGTGTGTGTGTGTGTGTGTGTGTGTGTGTGTGTGTGTGTGTGTGTGTGTGTGTGTGTGTGTGTGTGTGTGTGTGTGTGTGTGTGTGTGTGTGTGTGTGTGTGTGTGTGTGTGTGTGTGTGTGTGTGTGTGTGTGTGTGTGTGTGTGTGTGTGTGTGTGTGTGTGTGTGTGTGTGTGTGTGTGTGTGTGTGTGTGTGTGTGTGTGTGTGTGTGTGTGTGTGTGTGTGTGTGTGTGTGTGTGTGTGTGTGTGTGTGTGTGTGTGTGTGTGTGTGTGTGTGTGTGTTTGTTTGTTTGTTTGTTTTTAGGTTACCCCTTTTTGAGGGGTTGGTTAAAGGGAGACTAAAAAGAAACCAAAAAAAGATAGGGCCGCCCCTTACGAAGCCAAACTTTTTTCAAGTGCCTCACTGGAAACACCCCAGTGAAGTGAAGCCCCTGAGGCTGTCCCTGAATTAAAAGACCAAGTGAGCCGATTCGAACTCTGGCACCGAACATGAGTCACTTGCTCAAAACCCGGTACTAAAATGGTCGTAATCCCAGACCCATGTAAAGGATTTAGAAGGCGGATATCCGCAACTATTTCTGGCTGGGACTGCTCCTTACTACCCTTCATCTACCCGGGAGCTTCTTTTTTTTAACAAAAAAGCAGCTAAGTGGTGGGTGGGTGTTTTCACCTCTGGCAAACACCGCCGGAAGGGCTTTTCTCATGGATGTTTCTCCCCCCTAGACGGTTTCCTCTTGTGTGGGTTGTTTTTTTCCCCCCAAGGAGTCTACGCAATTGGTGGTTGTTTTGGAAGGCAAGCCAAAGACAAGCCACCCATCGTGGCACCCGCTCCCCTATGTTGAAGCAGTCCAAGCAGTCAAGTGTTTCTAGCGAGTCTGCGCCTTTGGGGCTGGTTTTGGAAGGCACGCCAACGACAAACCACTGGGACCCGTTCCCGTATGTTCAAGTGATGCCGATTTTTGTCTATATCAGAATCTGAACAACTGGACGAGTAACATTGCTTCATGATCGCTCGCTAAACACGCTGGGGGCTCAGGACATGGTTGCGGAGAAAACCCACCACACGCCTCACAAAGCCTCTCCTGAGACCGCGCTTCAAGAGATTGTGTTAGACCCCAGACAAGAGTGGAGTGATCGCAAAGTCAGGGTTCGGACAACTAGTTTCTAGAGGATAATACACACATGATTCTCCTTTGCCAGCGATCGGACACCATTTATTCGAGCCAGTTTTTGACCACCAAAGCTGGATTTGGGGTCCTTTTGGCAGAACTGTAAGATAAGGGGATCTTCAAAAAGTGCCCCAGAACCAGCTTAGGGGATTCCCTTGAAGGAAACCATAGGGCTGATTGTTTAAGTGGCCATTCCCTTGCTCATTCCCGGCGCGGACCAGTCCCTGGAGTGCCTTGAAAGAGGTGCATCACAAAACTTCTCGCGGCCTGGTTGCTGGTCGCTGCCTGTGCCTCCGTGATGACCTCGCTCATGATGCTCGAGCCGTGTTCCTGCAGCTGCACGCGCTGTCCTACAAATGTTTCTGGGGCTCCCGACATAGTTTCCTTTAAACAGTCAGCCCAGGCTGAACCAGGTGATATGGCCATGGGTCAAAATCCCGTACCCCTGGTGAACATCCCAATCCCCACTAAAATACTCCAAAATGGGTGGTGCACCTACACCAAATGGGACCATTGGTTTTGACCCACGGCCATATCTAAACACGTGTTGGCCTTGTTTGACCGTGGCAGCTCCAGTTTGGCACACATGTGCAAATGGTCTGCGTTGCTAGGATGCTCATCGCCCCTAACTTGAGTATCTTAGCAGGTTGTTCATATTATAGCCAAAGGATGTCTATATAGTCTATAAAGGGCACCATGGCAATGTTCTTAAGCCTGCAGGTTGTTTGTATTATAGCCAACACAAGGATGTCTATAAAGGGGGCACCATGACCGGGTGTCCGGCTGTAGCATGCAAAACACCGGTGGAAGGTCTCTTCGGGGTCCCCCGAACCCGGCGCGGATCGCCTGCATCTTGGTGATCACGCTCGCCTTGAAGGTGGCCATCGCGCCTCAGTCGGTCAGTCGGATCAGTTCAGTCGGTCAGTCGGTTCCGAGAGGGAGCTGACTCCAGCGACTTGCCTAGGTCCGCTAGTAGAGGGGGGGGTGGGGGGGGGGAGGTCCTCCAGATTTGAGAGGTTAGAATAAGAGTTGGTACCAACTTTTCCTTTTTTTGGTTTTGTCTATTTTAGTAGGGAACCCTGCCCCAAAAAAGGGGTAAAAGGGCTACTGGGGGACACAGTTGCGGAACTCACTGACTGACTGGCTGACTTGCGTTGACTGGCTGACTGACTGGCTGTGGGTTGTTGGGGGGGTTGCGGGGGGTTGGGGGTTGAAGGGGGTTGGGGCGGTTGGGAGGTCGGGGGGTTGGGGGGGTTGGTGGGGTTGGGTACCAAACTCCCAAACTACCAAACTAAATAACTACCTACTGAAGTACCCAACTACCCAACTACGTAACTACCTAACCGACTCGCTACCGAACTACCGAACTAACTAGGCAACAACTCACTGACTGACCTCGCGGCTTTTCTACCCCCATCCCTTCCTGAGGCCTCCGCCCGTTTTGCCCAGTCCGAAAGTTGGAATGGTGCAGTTGGCCATCTGGCCATGGGTCAAAATGCAAACATCAACCAATCCAACCACTAAACTAGACTCCATCCCCACTAAAATGGGTTCCAAAGTGGGTGGTGAATTCACCCACCCATCAAAACGGGATACCCCAACGGTTTTGACCAAAACAGACTAAAATGGGCGGTGCACCTACCCCAAAACGGTACCAACACGGTTTTGACAACCACAGCTGTCTCGCCTGAGGCCGGGACTAGACATGGCCGCTTCAACCTTCTCCTTGACCTCAGCGTGGCTGCGTGGCCGCCATTGGCCGCCCACGGGATGGTTTCAACAACGGTACGGCACCCAATCGCGCGGGCCTTTCTTTCCATGCTTATCTTGACAACAACAAACAAAACTTCAAAAGTTTGTCTCAAACAAAATGCAACCCTGAGAATGCGTGGACTTTCCTCCTACGAAAAGGGCACCCTCGACAAAAACCACGCAAATTGGGGTGTGAGTTTGAATTGGGCGGACTCTTTGGTGGACGACATGCATGTCCACCTGCCATTTTGCTGGGCTGCCCCAGATCCCCCGCTAAAAGTTTAGCTTTTTAGTGGGTTAAATGGAAACTACCACTAAACACTAAAAATATCTAAAAGGTTAAGGGACCGGATAACTGGGAGCCACCAAGTGTTCAACCCCCTTCAACCCATTCAACCCCTTACGGGGGATTCCCACATGAAAGCGGACAAAACATCCAACCAAAGCGGAGTCCGCGTCGAGCCTAGGTCCTCCAGTAGAAGGTTAGAATACGGGCACCCGATTTTTTCTTTTTTGTCTATTTTAGTAGGGGACCCCTCCCCCCAAAAAAGTTTGTAAAAGGGCACTACTGGGGGACCCAGGAGCCATACCTTCCGAGCCACACAGGCGATGGGGTTCTTTGGCGGCGCGCAGTCCGACAGAAGCTCGTTGGTCACCGTCTGGCCCATCCTCGGAAGGGCGGCTCTCTCAAGCGCCCCGTTGGGAAGGCCGCAGCCCAAAGGGCGTCCTCCGTTTGCTTAGGGTCCCCTGGCAAAAAAGAAAACCTAGTGATAGATTCCTTTTTTTCTAACCAAGAGGGGAAAATGAAGCAGCCAATGGAAGGCTTTACAACAGCAAATCAAACAGGGAAAGAAACATCCCCTAGTGATAGATTTCTTTAAAAGCAACAGGGGAACATGAACAATAATTATTCTTAAGCAACTGGAAGGCTTTAACAGGCCCTAAATTTGGGTGACCCTAAATGGATTCGAACCGAGGGGGTGCTTTCGGTTACCAGCCAGAATCATGGATGATACCCCTAAAAGCTTGAAGCAGGGGTTTACTAATCCCAGATCCCCCCCTTTTTGTAACCCCTACTTCTTTTTTTGTTGACCCCCCCTTGCTTGTATTTGACCCCAACCCCCCCCCCCCCCCTCTCCCATTTGCTGTATAAAGAGGCCCCAGTAAGCATTGGACAACTTGGCACCTCTTCCCCGCCCGAGAGCTTTGGGGTTTGTTTAGATTGTCGAGGAGATTGTTCGAAGCAAAGGTCATGTTGGCGCAGCAGTTGCTTCTTGTTAAGGGACCCCCCCCTGCGCCTCCAACAAAAGGGAACAAGGAAGCAACCCGGTATAAATAAATCCACCAGGAGGTTCTTCCTCCTGAATTTGCATTCAGGTCTCCAATTTGGCCATGGGTCAAAAGCCAAATCGCACCCCCAGTGAACATCCCAATCCAACCACTAAAATAGGTTCTAAAATGGGTGGAGAATTCACCTACCCCAAAACGGGATCCCATTGGTTTTGACTTATCTAAATCCGAGAGTCATGCTAAGGGGTGGTTCTGGTGACTTGGAATGTAGGGGTACGGTTGCACGGGTACGGTTGCTGGTGCGGTGGGTACGGTCTGCTGGTGCGATCGGTACGGTTGCTGGTGCGATGGGTGCGGTCTTACGGTGCGACGGGTACGGTCTGCGGGTGCGATGGGCACGGGCTGTTGGTGCGATGGGTACGCGGTCTGCGGGTGCGATTGGTACAGTTTGCGGGTGCGATGGGCACTGCTTGTGTGATTGGTGCGTTCTGCTGGCACGATGAGTACGGTCTGCTGCTGCGATAGGCACGGTTTGGTGGTGCAATAGGTGCATGGCGCTGGTAGGATGGGTGCGCTCTGACGGTGCGATGGGTACGGTCTGCTGGCGCGACGGGTGCGATGAGTACGGTCTGCGAGTGTGATGGGTACGCTTGTGGGATGGGTGCGGTCTGTACTGGTGCAAAGGTACAGTCTGGGTGCGGTCCGCTGGTGCGATGCGTACGGTTTGCTGGTGCGACAGGTGCGGTCTGCCGGTGCGACGGTACCGTCTGGTGGTGCATTGGTTCGGTCTGATGGGTGTGGTTTGCTGGTGCGATGGGTACGGTCTGCTCACACGATGGGTGCGGAGGTTTGCTGGTGAGAGGGTTGCGGTCCTGGTGCGATGGGTATGGGTGTGGACTGCTGTTGTGTTGGTCTGCTTTAATGTGGTCTGACCTCATTCAGGATTGCCCAGTGTTTGTTGTCAAATATTCGGAGGGGGTGGGGGAGAGGGCTTGGAGCCGAGTTTTTTTGAAAACGAAATCAAGTTCCAGGAAAACACAACTGGGACTGTATCCTTTTTGCTATAGAGTCAACTTTAGAACTTTAGAGAGCACCACCAAGTTCCACAAAAGCACTGTCCAATACCAATTTCCAAAAGAAAACATCGCCAAGTTCGAGGTAGCCAGGGACCGTGCCGTTCCTGTCAAAAACATACCACCAATTTCAAAGAAACCGCCACCAATTTCGAGGAAACCGCTCCAATTTCGAGGAAACCACCCCCAAATTCAAGGAAATGCCACTAATTTCGAGCAAAACACCGCCAATTTCAAGTTAGCGTAGCTTGTTGCCGAGACAACAACGCGAATCATTCTCAGGAAAGCGCCGCACATTTCCAGGACAACGCGACCAGTTTCCAGGAAAACACCACACATTTCCAGAAACCTTCGCACCCTGGGACCGTACCTCTATTTTATCGAAAGATCACAAAAACACGCTTCCACACAAAAATCCAATTTTTCAGGTCAACACCACCAATTTCAAGAAAAACACCACCAATCTTGTGTCGTGATCACACTCTAGGAAAGCACCAGACATGTCCCAGAAAACGGGACCGTACCCTCCACCAATTTCCAGGCAAACAAAACCAATTTCCAGGAAAACAAAACCAATTTCCAGGAAAACACAAATTTTCAGAAACACAACAAACAAAAACACAACCAATCTCCAGGAAAACACCACCAACTTTCAGGACAACATTACGAATTTCCAGGAAAACACAAACAATTTCGAAGTACATACAAAAAGAAAAGCGCCCAATTTCCAGAAACCACCAACTTTCAGGACAAAACTACCAATTTCGCGTACCGTGCAAACCGCACCCCCGCACTGTACCCCGTACCCCCGTACTGTACCAACGGTACGCCCGTACCGTACCAACCGTGCCCCAAAAACCGTACCAACCGTACGCCCGTACCGTACCAACCGTACCCCAAAAACCGTACCAACCGTACCCCAAAAACCGTACCTTTTTTTCACAAAAAAACACAACCAATTCCAGGAAAACACGACCAATTCCTAGCAAAACACAACCAATTCTAGGAAAAACAAAGCCAACTTATTGGTACGGCACGGGGTAACGGTTGGTACGGTACGGCAGTACGGCTGGTACGGTACGGGGGTACGGTTGGTACGGTGTGGGGGCACGGTTGGTGCGGTGCTGGGTATGGTTGGTACGGGCCCACGCCTGGCTGGGTGCTTTTCTTGTGTTTTCCTAGGAATTGGTGGTGGTTTCCTCGAAATCGGTGGCGTTTTCCTGGAAATTGGTGGTGTTTTTTCTTGAAAAACGGGTGGGTTCCCTGGAAATTGGTGGTGTTTTTTCTCAAAAAACGGGTACGGTCCCAGCGTGTACCTCAAAATTGGTGGTGTTTTTCTAGGAATTGGTGGTGTTTTCCTTGAAATTGGTGGTGTTTTTCTGGAAATTGGTGGTGTTTTTCTCAAAAAACGGGTACGGTCCCAGGGTGTACCTCGAAATTTGTGGTGTTTTTCTAGGAATTGGTGGTGTTTTCCTCGAAATTGGTGGTGTTTTTTCTTGAAAAACGGGTACGGTCCCAGGGTGTACCTCAAAATTGGTGGTGTTTTCCTTGAAATTGGTGGTGTTTTTCTGGAAATTGGTGGTGTTTTTTCCTCAAAAACCGGGTACGGTCCCAGGGTGTACCTCGAAATTTGTGGTGTTTTTCTAGGAATTGGTGGTGCTTTCCTGGAAATTGGTGGAGTTTTCCTGGATTTTTGTGTTTTTTCTCAAGAATGGGTACGGTCCCCCGGGTGTACCTCGAAAGTTGTGGTTTTCCTAGACATTGGTGGAGCTTTCTTGGGAAAATTATGTTTTCTTTGGAATTGATGGTGTTTTCCAGTGGTGATGTTTGTCTGGAAATTTGTGGCGTTTTTTTCTCGAGGAAAGGGGTCCATCCCAGCTTGAAATTAGCGGTGTTTTCCTGGACATTAATTGTGTTGGTACAGTACAATCATTGTGTGATTTTTGCAGTTGCAGCGTTTTTTTCTCCTTTGGTGGTGCAATTGGTGGTGTTTTCCCGGAGGTTGGTGATGTATTCCTGGTAGTGTGTTTTCCCGTCCTTGGGTTAAGGTCCCAGGGATTGGTGGTGCTTTTCTGAAAATTGGTGGACATGTGCCTTGTTTTCTCCAAAAAGGTTTCTCCGAAAAGGGAACCAGGGTGTACCTCGAATTGTGTTGTGTTTTCATCGAAATTGGTGGTGTTTTCCTGGAAATTGAAAATGTTTTCCTGGAAATTGGTGTTCAACATGATGAAGGGTACGGTCCCACGCTACTTTCGAATTGGCAGTTGAAGCATGCGCAGAAAAATATGTTCAATCCGCCAGTTGCGATGCACCCCACAAAGAGTATCTGCAGGCCGCCGCTGGGCGTACTCGCTGCCACACCGCACCACCACGCCACACACGCGTACCTCGCGCCGCACCACCGCAAGCGTACCCCGCAAGGCACCACCGCACCACGCACGCAAGCGTACCCCAGACCGCACCACCGCACCACGCAAGCGTACCCTGCACCGCACCACCGCAGCGCGCAAGCGTACCCCACTACCGCACCACCGCACCTCGCAAGCGCACCTCATCGCACCCGCGCACCGCACTACCGCACCACGCAAGCGTACCCTGCGCCGCACCACCGCACCACGCAAGCGTACCCCCGCACCGCCCCACCGTACCTCATTTCCACCCCTCCACCAGAGCATGACTCTTGAATTTAGCTAAGTTTTGACCCACCTGCAAATCGGTCGGCTTCCGCCGAAAGGCGAGGCGACGGAGGTCTTGATCAGGTCGATGACCGTGGGATAGATGGTGGTCGCTAACGCGGAGGCCTGCGCGAATTGAGCCGGCGGTTTTGGTAACGAGGGCTGGCTGAAAGGGAAAATTACGAAAGCCACTACGTAACTGGGCTGCCCGTTTTCGGATGCCCCCGCAAAAAGTGACGAACTTTTAGTGGGTTAGATGGAAACTACCACTAAACACTAAAAAGCTAGAAGGCTAAGGGGATGGCTGGGAGCCACCAAGCCAAGTGGTTCTAGAGATTCTGGACATGTTGGATGCCTCGACTGTGTACTTCAATTCTTGCACTCATTCAGTTGGCACGCTCGATTGGGGGGAATCCGGCAAGGGGGCCTCCGAAAAACCCTGCAATGATCAGCCACTTGGGCTTCAACACGCCAATTTCAACACCAATCGAACCTGGCAGGACTTCGAATTCGTGGATTGCACGCCAAGGCTTGCAACAATGTACTAGCTTCCGCCGGGGCGATGGCTACCAGACAATTCCGGGTGCTTCAATTGAGACAGGGGTGACACACAAGGTGCCGGGCTTCATCACAAAGGCAAAGGGGTCGCAGAATGGTGGATTCCCATTGGGGACAAAAAGCTTCGGCCCTCTTCTTGGTGGTTGACTTTGTAAAGAAACCCCTTCCCACAAAAAACTGAAAACTTGGGTGGTCCGTAAGCGCTGCCCAAGCGTGGAGTTCATCCTTTGCAGTTTAATCCACCTCTTTGATAGTACCCCTTCTTGGGTTGTCTTGAAAAAAAAAACATGTTTAGTCTTAACTAGGACATTTGCCTGGAAAGAAACCTCCCCTTTGCTCGTCTTTAGATCAAAAAATCCTTCGCGATCCCCCCAAACCCCCGCGCCTTGCTGGAAAGGGCAGTCTGCACAGCAGTGAAGACCGCAGCCACGTCCACGCCCTCGTGGGCGCTCCTGCGTCCGGAAAGCCCGTAGCCCCCGCGAAAGGACGCCCCAGCGATTTTCCATGGTGAGCAGAATGACCGTGAAGTGTGGGCTTGAATGGTCGTCCAGTTTGCTGCTGTTCGGGCGCAAAGCACGAGATCTTTTGCTTCGTTGACCAAAAGTAGGCTTTTGAGTAGCAACAGCCCTGGGCCACGGGTCGGAAACGCCAAGGCTAAAGCTCACGCGAAAGACCAGCCATGGTGTACCAGCCAATGGGCGACGGTCGCCCTTTTGGTTACCAGTCAGCTCATCACAGGAAAATCTAGGGCCTAAAGCCTGAGGAAGTGTTGCCTTCTGTGACTCCTTTTTCTTACTATTTGATGCCACTTTCAATTTATGTTGGTGAGTGTTGTATGTAAGCATTTGAGCATTCCCCCCGACGTCGGTTTTGCTCTGGTGGGTGACTCCCCTTTCTGCTTAACCCTCGCTTCTTCCAAATACCAGCCACGTTCCACAGATTTGGGTGGCTTTCTGGAAAGGGTGGTCCCATATTTACGAAGCATCGTCTGTTCCTGTGGAATGTCAAAGTACATTTGCGGCAGTTTGTTCCAGTAGGTAAGCCTCAGTATCCAGCCACGCAGGAGCCCAGGGTTTGTCCGAACCAACTGGGTGCGAAACAGGCCAGGGTTGCTGCGTTCCCATTCGACCGATTTGTTCCGCACATTGGGGTAGATATGCTTAGTCCCCACTGCTTTGCCCATGCCCTAAACCACAAGTGCTGTCCAAAGCTGCCCAAAACGCCGGCAAAAGGAAGCCAAACCCATCTTCCACCCGTGTGGGGCCATCTTGTCACTTGGAGACATGCAGTCGATCTGGAAAAAAACAGTGTCTGTGTGATTGCCTTTGAGGAAGCATCTTGCGTACCCAGATGCGTTTCTTCGAACACAACATCTGGAATGGGTGATCTTCCTGTTCACCCAGCACGGCAATGACGGCAACACATCCAGCACGTTTTGCTGGTTGCCAAAAGGATCACAGAAAGGTGTCGGTTCCCAATCTCCTTGAGGGTCTCTGATGGTCCCCGACCTCTAACATAGTGCTTGCATAACCCCGCCCCAGATCCCTCCAGAAATTAATTCAGTGACACACTCCAAGTCCCTTGCTTTTTTGCTCCTTCAACAGTGGGCACCGAGTTCTTCCGCCTCAACATGCATCTGACAAACACCACGGACGCCACCCGCGCGAAGCGCGGGCGAGCGCCCGACGCTACCCGGGGACCCCGGCTGCAGCGAGGTCTTCTGGGCATCGGAGAAGTCCAGCCAGGCCAAGTACTCCTTCTCCATGGAGGACATCATCTCGGTGACCTGGGATCGACATGGACTGAGCTTCAAGATTTTACCCCAGATTTTCGCGTTGACAAACCGGCGTTTTTCCCCAAGCAAGCTGAGCAAACTGAGGTGCAATAGAACTCCCACAGTTGCACACCTGGAAATTCCGGAACCATTTCACGGACAAATTTTGGCTTTCTCGTTGGCTTTGGAATCCTCCCGATGGCTTCCTTTTGAAAAGTTCGGAACCCCTTCCCCAACGACGAGCTGAAAGCATCCATCAATGAACCATTGTCTTACTCGGAACCAGCTGCACAAGCGGCCAATGGAGTCGACAACCGACATTTCGATCAAAAACAAATCAAAGCGCGGGGTAAATTGGATCAGGCTCTGGCACCAAATGCTTGGTTTGTCCCCGCTTGGAACCTGTTTAGCTTGCTATGGTTCACCAGTCCTTTCTGATTGCAAAGTTCTACTGGTCCACCAAGGGACCCTATAAATAAACAAATACATATACATATATATATATATATATATGATATACATACAAATGATATACATTCGCTGGATCCAAGAGGTTGCAAAATACAAATATGATTGTTCCTGAGCGAGTACATATTAAACATATTAACTATATATTCTTCATATTACAAGCCCCGGACTCTTGATTGCGAGCGGTTTCCCACGAAATGGGACACTTGGGTGGTCTCCAGGGTGGTCGCAACCCCTGGTTGTTGAAAGATTTGATGAACCACCCATGCCCTCCCCAAGTCAACCGCAGACCCTCAACTTTGTCAGTTGAACATGTACAAATTCAGCGTGACATGCATCGAATAAAGCTGGGTCAGAACGGCAAAGTCCAGCAACGAAATGTTTTGAGGGGCCTCCTCCATTGCTTAAGTCCCCTGAAAAATTCGACATATGACCCCTAGTGCTCAGCAGGGAATGAGGGAAGGATTCTTATAATTCAACCGGTGGTTTCCTGTAAGGGGACCAATTCCTGGGTTCGTTCCCACTCATTCCCTACTAGGCGGCTCCAAATACTCTTCCAATATATGAGCTACGGCCAAAAACTACTTGCTCCTTAAATTAAAGAGAACATGTCCACGAACCTTCCAACATACGTTTTGAAGCATACCCCAACCCTCCTCGGTTGCTTTCTGCTCCCCTGCCAAAAGTTTAAACTTTTAGTGGCTTAATATGGAAAGAACCCATGAGTTGGCAAAAAGTTAAAGTCCTAACATCCAAGAAAAATGCACCAAAGCCTCCCATGAGCACCAGCAAGAAAGGCTCAACACCGCTACATAGGGGCCGTGGGGAATGACCGCTTCTATGATACAACAGAAAGGGCTTCCCAAAGACGAAATTCTTCATAGAAAGGGGCATTCCCAAAAGTATCACAGAAGTGATTGGATAAACCACAAGTGATCAACCACAACCCTGCCGTAGCCCAACCCCATGATGAGCACCATCCAACTGGTGGTTTCCTATAAGGGGACCAATTCCTGGGTTCATTCCCACTCATTCCCTACCGATTTCGCACCAGCAAGTAAAGCTCAACACCGCTAGCACAGCTTAACTTTTGGTGGTTTAATATGGCAAATCCCCATGAGTTGGCAAACATGTTAAAGTCCCCAAAGCCTCCAAGCAACATGCACCAAAGCCTACCTATCGCACTAGCAAGAAAGGCTCAGCACCGCTACAGCCATAGGTGTCCTCTTAGGGGAAATAGATGGGTTTCCCTGGTAGATGATTCTGCCACCAGGTAAACCAGGGCCAGCTATTTTTCTAGCAAAACAACCAACTATGGACACTCGGTTGCTTTCTGCTCCCCTGTTTTTTTGTTTGTATTTTTAACTTCTAGTGGTTTAATACGGAAAACCCCATGAGTTGGCAAAAAGTGTTCAAGTCCTAACTAACCCAAGCAACAGGCACTATGGCTACAGCTTCCAAGATGCGAGCCTTTGGGACCCAATGGCCAGCTGAGGCGCTGCCTCATCCAAGGGTCGCAGCAGCAGGTCATCCATCATGGCCGTGGCAGTCTGGTTGGCAGTAAGGCCTCGCCGGGCAGATTCCCTAGGTCCTCCAGATTTGAGAGGTTAGACGTGGTTGGTACCGTCTTTTTTCGGTAGTCTATTTTGGTAGGGGAACCCTCCCAACCAAAAAAAGGGTGAGAAAGGGCAGCTAGCTGGGGGACCTAGTTCCGATCCCGCAAAAACAACTGATCCGCATGCAGATTCTGTAACCTGGAAAATTCCTAGGATCCGACCCCTAAACCCCCCTAAATCCCGTTGGTCTCAAAACGGATGTTCTCAACCCTCGAGAAAAAGCTAGTTGAATGTTAGGTATTGGGACGGAGTCGGGAAACCAATGTGTATTTAAAGGTCGCATGATCAATACTCTTTATTGTCTGTCATGGTGATGGCCCGCTTAAAGGGGACTGTTGTATGCTTTAATGGCGTGCAAGCTAACCTTCAGGGTGTTTCGACCATTGAACATATCACTCCATCTCAATCCAGCAAGTCTGCACGCTCGGGTTCTTCACACAAATCGAAACTCAAATGGCTGCCCTGGGAGTGAAAATTGGACGCAACAAGGCCCAGAGCAAAGCATGAGTATTTCCCATTTTGAGGGTAGGTTAAGGGTTAGGACTACTTCACTGAAAGAAGGCACACCCAGACTTGCAACCTTGGGCCCGGCTTGCAAACGGAGGCCTATCGAACTGCCGCTCTGGTCTGCTTGTATCGGACAAATCCGGTCCCGCTTCGTTCTAAAAAAGAATAGACATATGGATAGTATTGTTAGCTGCCGAATGTTGCCCATCTCTAATGAAATTACCGCTATACCGGTAGGCCGCACATGACTGGTCTTGGTCCATTGGTTTGGCCCCCCGCTCGTTTTCATGTGATATCGGCGGGCATTTCGATCCGAACTCAGTATTTGGCAGGATAGCCCTGCTGAAGAGATCACGGCGCTATCTGATTCAGGGAACAGCGAACGCGCAGCAAATGAGCAGATGGTAGTGGCTTTCCCAGTTTCCGTTAAATCACCCGCCACATGGTGTTTCGCCATCTTTGCAAACACCCATTCTGATAAGCACGAAGGGATCCACAGCATGTCATGCGAAATGTGTTTGTCTTTTGTTTAAATCAGCACCAGAGCAAATGCAGAACACAGAAGCCGAAAGTACAAGAAAGCAAACAGAAATAATTTGAACATGTCTGAAGAACGTTGCCACAAACTCTCGGTTGCTTTCTGCTCCTCTGCTAACAGATTCTCTAACCTTCAGTGGTTTACTGTAATACGGAAAACCCATGAGTTGGCCGAAAGTTAGGGTCCTGGATCGCCAGTTGCTGTTTGTTTTTTTTTTGTTTTATCCATGCACTTTACCCCCCAAAAAAACAGATCGCAACAGTGACTGAAAAAAGCGATCGCAACCTGGCGATCTAGGAACCATCAATTATTTGTTGGCATTTACAGGGGCATCAAATCATCCCAAGCTTTGTTGGGTGCAGGAGTTCGTCCACAGTAACATCCAAGCAACATGCAACAAGAGCTTACCAAACACGTCTGGAACTTGGCTTCATCTGGCTTTCTCGGTCAGTTTGGAGCTTGGGCCACTGAGTTCAGCCCAAACTGCCCCAGAACGGCTTCACGGATGTTGTTTTCCGCATGGGAGAGGCCAGCCAAAGCAAATCGGGACCATTGGGTTGTTTGTATTTGTTTTGTTTTGTTTAACAAACACCTTGGGTTGCCAATTGGGTTTTATTTAAAACAAATAATCACCTCGTTTTGGTTGCTTGCTGGTGCGATAGGCAGGGTGAGAAATGGAGTCTGTCCCGTAGAAAAACCATCAACAACTGGTGGTTTCCCTTCAGGGGACCCCTCAATTCATTCCCTCATCCCCCAATGAGCACCAGCCAGAAAAGGCAAGCATTGGGGACAAAGAGTACTCGGCTGCAGACATTTTCATGCCCAGAGGCTCCCGATTGATTTAGGGCCTTCAAACTGAACCTGGCTTTGAGACCCCAAACCACCGAAGGGTGAATGGAGAGATCGGGTCCATTGAAAGCCAAAGCCAGGAGCCTCTGGGTGGAAGAAAAGGGCCCCAGGAGATCGGTTCCTCTGAGCCACTGCTTCAGTTGAGCATTGCACCTGGCGAATGGGCCCAATCCAGTCAAAGAACGTAACTGGGCTGCCCGTTTTCGGATCCCCGGCGCAGACCCGGGTAGAAAGACTACGTTCCTCCTGGAAAAAAGGCGGCGGTGCACTTCCATGTTTTAGCTTTCCTCTAAGTGCGGCTTCTCATTTACCCTCTACAAAGGCCCGCGCTTCAAATCCAAATTCAAACCACCGATCCACCAACCCAATCCACCAACCAGGGGTTACCTGGATGTTAGTTGGTGGGAGGGTACAGGGCCTCCAAAAAAAACACAAACAAACATCATCATGGTGTCACTGAAATGCCCAGCGGATTTCCATGGGATAAAAAACAAAAAATAATTGGCATCCTTTGTTGGTTGGTTGACTTTAAAGGAAAAAAAGCAATCCTTCCCCCCAAAAAACTTATAAAATAAAAAGGGGGCAAAAGGAACCCTTCCCCAAAAAAAGGAATGACAAAAACGGGGGGGGGGGGAGAGGGGAGGCGGAAGCCACTGGCTGCATCATGTCTTCGTGCTTCCGGCTTTGCACGCGCCTTGGGCCAGCTGCGAAAAGAGCCGCGCGATGTCCTCAGCCGTCGTGTCGCGTTCTTTTTCGCGCGGCCAGCGTTGAGCGGCGAGCGGCGAGCGGGGTCGGCCGAGCGAAAGGGGGACCCGTGTCTTTCGGGGGAGAAACCCAAAGCCACGGCGGCAGTACGGGTTTCAAGTGTTTATCCCTTTTGCGCCTTTTGGGGGATGTAGAGAAACCCGAAGCAACGGGAGCAGTTGTTTTTGTCGGATGTCAGATGCCAAAAAACACAATGGGAGTTGTTGGCGGAACTGGAGCAGTTGAGTTTGGAAATCTTCTTCAACCAGTGTTTGCAGGGCATGAGCACTTTATTGGTTAGTTCCCACTTGCCACAAGCAGGTGTGCAACACATACCAACGAACATATCTAAACATGCAACACCGTGTAATTACCCAACAACAACAAAGATTTAGTATTTCTTGAACAAGCCAAGGCAAAACCAACAGGCAGTCTGTCCTCAGCTTTTGCCCCCAACAGTAAAATATCCGTAAAATATCCACGCAACATATTTTTGACTCTTCACATGTGGACAACCTTCAATGGCACAATGATGAAAACATATAGATTGGACCATATACCCCCCAATAACTACGCAAACTGGGGGGGAACAAGTTGATCAACCCGGGTTGTTTCATGGGAAACACTTCCTTTTTGGTCAGGAGTTGACAAATTATACCCTAAAACGAGGAAGGGGTTCCCATTCATTGACCCACATAGGACTGAATCATCGCAACCGGAATTTTGTCGCATTCCCTGCTTCCCTTTAGGTTTTCCTTTGAACTCCCTCCAAATTGTTCAAACCAATCCCATTTTTTGGTTTTCAATCCTAAAGTGGAAAATAGAACAAAAGCCAACACGAGCAAAACACCACCGCAAGCAGGGTTCCACTTTTGGATTATCCCCAGAAAAATCCTTTTGGGGGTGTTGGAAATGAACCAGTGGTTCTAAGTCTACCTTGGTTGGGGTAATCCAAGCATGGAACCCTTCCCTTCAAAAGCGGGTTCGTCAACATAAAGAATCATGGGCCCCCCACAAAATAGGTGGCTTTTCCTTTTGGTTTCCCTTCAAAAGGGGCTTCGCCAACGTAAAACCAAAAAAATGGCACACCCCAGAGCCCCCGAAGCATTCCTTGCCAAAGGCTCGCGCAGCGATTTCTTGACCTCGGCCTCTACCATGGACGTCGCGTTGGCCACCAGCGCTGACACGTCCAAAAGCCCCGCCAGCGCCGCGTCGATGGCCTGAAGCTGGGAGTCAGCGGGTGGGGGTGGGGTGGGGTGACGGTGGGGTTAACGGGGTGGGGCGACGGTGGGGGAAACGGTGGGGTGGGGTGACGGTGGGGTCGGGTGGGGTGGGGTTGGGGTCGGGTGGGGTGGGGTTGGGGCAGAAAAAATACACACACACACAAACACACAAAGACACAAAGACACAAACACCACACACACAACGCAAGCACACAGCAACATGCACCACACATACACCATACACACACACAGATACACCACACATATACACCACACACACACACAGGCCACACACACACACACAAACACCACACATGCAGACCGCACACCGCACACACACACACACACACCCACCCACCCACCCACCCACCCACCCACGCACGCACGCACGCACGCATGCGCGCACGCGCACACCGCACCACACACACACACACCCTGCGGACACCACACGCCGCACAAACCACAAATCAAGACAGACACAAACCGTGTGGACATCAGACTTTCTTGGCCGAGTCTATACCGAACAAGGTCCCCAAAACCACGTTGCCTCAAGCCATAACCCACCTAGTCCTGAGAGACACTGGTGGCCAGGGAAAGCAGAGCGCCCGTCCAAAAACGTTCAAATGGCCGGCGCCTTACTCAAAAAAAACGGCAAAAAAACTCAAAGTGAAAAGGAACACCACGGAGACGCGAGACCCAGCAACTCTTGGTTCTACCAACACGGTTGCAAGGCTGTTCCGGGAGGCCTCGCAATCCCCCAAGTCGCCCGACTTGAAACGTGGGCTGCGCCCTCTGCGGACGTTGGGCGTGACGAGTTGCAGGGGGTGGCTCGGGTTTTCCGCAGGAGATCCTCTATAGGAGCTTTCAGGCGGCTTCTGATTCAACCACGCGCGCAGGACCTTCTGCAGAGACCCTGTGGTAATTTCTGGAAATTCCTTACAGAAGCCAGTGAGCAGTTGCGCCCACTTTCATGTTGCCTTGGGTTCCTGTCCCGCAGTGTTCTCGAATCATGTTTCACTTCGATTCCTCTATCTGTTCTTTGGTTTAACACGTTTAGCTTTGTTCCCCTATTTTTGACCGATTTTTTGGGTAACTTCTTTGTTTCACCGCTTGCCGGGATATTTTTGTCAGTTGGCCATGGGTCAAAATTCAAATCGTACCCCCAGTGAACATCCCAATCCAACCACTAAAATAGGTTCTAAAACGGGTGGAGAATTCACCTACCCCAACATGGGATCCCAAAACGGTTTTGACCACCACAGCCAGGTGGGTATTAGATCAAAATGAAACCGTATCAAGGGACCAGGGTACCATTTGGGGTGCGTATTTTGACCACCACAGCCAAAATGGTACCAAAACAGTTTTGACCCACAGCCACATCTGCGGCGCCCTCAATTTTTCGGAACCCCCGCAAGACCCGGCATCACATGGCAAGCCCAAACAGGGATATGTTGTCGGTTGTCGGTGGTCAGTGGCTCAAGACGAGACGCCGTGCGTGATGAAGTGGTAAGCGTGGCAATGAGCGGCGCCGTGTCGAAGGCTTTGCTGTCCACATCCTCGGGTCAAAATCGGCCACCCTCTAGTGGGTTCTTTCTAGTACCTTCCATTTCACAAAATTTTGTGTTGGCTGGCAGTCGCAGGGCTTCTTGGGGATCTCAACCCATTTGGAATTTGGCCCTTTTAAACATCACCCTGCGCGCCAAAGGAAACTTCTCTGCAACCATTAGCCTCTCCACAAGGTGTTGAGCAGCAAAACTGAAAAAATCTGAAAATCTGAGGTGCCAGGTACAAAACCCACATGTTGCTCTTGACTCGTTCTACCCTTGAATCGGCTCACCACAAAATCATAGCTCGCTTTACCTTCGGATTCAAAGCTGTGACCAACATCTTGGCGATCTGGGGCACTCCGAAAATCATATTCAGATTGTGCCTCATATCTTTCAACCTGGGTATATTCCCAAAACTGGCGGTGCTCCTTTTACCGTTCAAATTCAAACCAGCCCCCAAAGATGGGTACCAGCCAGCCCAATGGAACATCTGGACCTTGCTACTATCGCCATGGCAACCAGCCTATGCAGGCCAAGCCCAAGTGTGCAACCATGTTTCTGGGGAGTGACCCTTTTCTGTGCCAATTTGAAACAGATTCTTCATTTGAAAGCAACCAGTAGCCATGTAAGCAGTTCGTTTGACACTGGCACAGCTATGAGGTACAGCAGGCAAATAGCTTGAGTTTCTGTTTCTAATCTGCTTCATATCGATTGTACCTTAAAGCAGCGCTTTCTGAGAAGACCCTAAAACGGGGTTGATCCAAGCGCCCCCCGCCTCCCGCCCCCCGAGGAAAGGCTCGCTCACCTTTTGTAGGTTTCATGGAAGCGCCAATTGAGGCTTCGTATTCATTATGTGCCTTCGCGAACCCTTTTGCAAACCTTTCGCGCCCCTCAGGTTGCCTTTTGCGCAGTAAATCGGCCAAGCAACCCTTGCGTTCCCGAATGGCTTCCAACAAAATCAACATAAACAAGTGACTTGAAGTACAACCTCGGAAGCGCGTCCAAGATTAGACCGCCAATAGATTAAAGCGGCTCGAAACTCATGATTTGAGTTAGGCAAGGTTATAGAATGTGTTATGTTATTGCTTGCTTCACATGGAGTCACTAAAATGTAAGATGTATCCCAAGTCTACCCCGGAACTAGTTTCGATTTAGAATCAACCTCGGCCTATCGCGCACATGTCGCTCGGCTCGCTTTCGCGCAGCTCTTCTCGTCGAGAAAACAAAACCGGGGGGTGTCCTTCCGCGGCTTCAACTTGGACAGCACCGAAAACTCAGATGCAACCAGTGGATTTCCAGGGGAAAAAAGGATTGGCATCCGATTTTTTGGTTGCTTGACTTTTAAGGAATCGGAACCCTTCCCGGAGAAAAAAAAAGGTAAAAAAGTTGAACAACGGAAGCAACCCACTGGGCAACTGGGTTCACTGCCTTCATTCATGTTGTTTTTGAGCTCTGCTCAATTGTGTCCAAAAGGTCTCTCCCAGTGCGATTCGGTCAGCCCCAACAGCCCTGGGAGAAGTCAGCAGCTCTTTTGACAGCCATCTAAAGCTTGGGCCCTGGCTGCCGTAAGTGCAATCATGTCCAACTGGGTCTGCAGTTGCGTGGCGCCCGTCCATCCTGACAACAACGCCGTTGGTTCTTGCCACCAGTGACTCGAATTGAGGGTTCTTGCCCCCAACGACTGCGCTTTGGACAGCCCTTATGCGACATGGGCAACACAAGTGGTTTGGAAAGTGCTGGAATTGGGTTTGACCATGTTCAATCGGCAGCACCATGCGAAAAGGGGGAGCTGGACTGCGCTAAGAAAGTGTCAGGAACATGAACATTCGAGCAACATTCGAGTCACACCTGACAGTCACGTTGGTGCTACTTGCATGATTAGGGTTTTGAAACATGGTCTGTCAATGCACAACAAAAGGACATAGTGCATGTGAGGCAGTTTAATTTCCCTCGGACAAAAACATTGGAAGAAGGCAGTGATGCAAACGGAGTATGAGAGCTTGTGCCGGTGCGTTGCTTGACAGTTCCATTGTGAACCTCGCAAAAACCGTAAGCCGGACTCAAAGGCGAGGATCACAGCCGGCCGTGCTCGCTCCAAGTACTGAAATTTGTTGCTCACATTCGACCCGGTCGGCACAAGCGAACGATGACATCCCTGGTGAGGGCATCACTGGCTTTGATTCATCCTAGCCCTGGCCACGCTCATGCTGAGTTGTAATATCAATGTTCATGTTCAGAACATTTACGAGAAAATGTAGAGCGCCCACTGTGGTTGGGAAATTCGCTGACCTTCATGTACGTTTTGATCCTGCGTGCCCTGTGAATCTCCGTCTGCAGGGAAGCTCGTTTCAAAAGTGCGCTTCCAAAAGGCAATGTTGTAAATCAGCCCAAAAATGATTTTGAGGAGGGCTGACTGCAAACCAAAAGACATGGACCTTTGCATTCCACGGCCGAAACGATATTTCCCGCTGGTTTCCACATCCAAATGAACAAGAAACTATTAAGTTTTCTTGTCGGGCTCCTTTCGACAAACGGACATAGCTCATCGATCCGCATCTCGCATGCGACTTCATTTCCCTTGGTGTGACAGAAAGTGGCTCCATGACATTGTCCGGGATTCCTTGGGCCAAGCGCACGAGCCAAACCAATCTCTGGATTGCCTTCGTAACATCCATGTCGCTAACGCCCACATGGGTTGCTCTCTTTGGAGTTGGGCCCAGAGCGGTTTGCATCGAGCCTGCCATTGCGCTCACCACCTTCGCAGTGACCTGCTCCGGGAACTCTGAAGTCAGCGATTCGAAGAGGCCTCAGCCGATGGCACCCTGTTTGCAAAAACGCTATGGGGAGCTGAACTGCTGGCTCCGGAACCTCGGAACAGCTAGTAGCACAAGGTGCTAGCTAAGGTTAGAATAAGGGTACCAACTCTTTTCTGACGTCTATTTTGGTAGGGGCACCCTTTTTGGGGGGGGGTTGAGAAGGGCTCTACTGGGGACCTTGTCTGTGAGCTGGAAGGCTTTGGGATCGAGCTGGTGACAGATCCCTGAACAGGTTTCAGGGGTCCATGGCCATCCCTAGCTATCCAAGTTAGCGTGTTGTGGCCACGGCATGAGTGTCGTGCCCTTTTGGCGCAGGCTGAGACCTCTTGGGCTGCTCAAGAGGGAAACCAATGGAGACACTCTTTGAATTCGAGCCAAACCGCAAGGATGGCCATTGCGGCCAAGTGACCGACAACAACTTTCATCTAGCCACGCAAACGCTCTTCCCAAGCAGAAGATCTAAGCGCTTATATAATATTGTTTGTGTGGAAACAAACAGCACCCTTTGTATCACACCAAAGACCAGGCATGTGGCCATGGTTCAAAACCAATGGTACCATTTTGGAATAGGTGCACCACTCATTTTAGTCTATTTTAGTGGGGATTGGGATGTTCACTGGGGGTACGGGGTTTTGACCCATGGCCAGTTGAAACCACCTTTCTCAGCCCTTCTGTGTGCTTTTGGTTCTCTCGAGCGCTCTCCAACGCTCAGCCGGAGGGGCTCTGCAACTTGGCTTTCACGGCGTCCAAGGCAGCCCCGAAGTGCAGGAGCAAACCGACCTCGAGAGAAGAAGAACCCAGGTACCTCATAGAAGCCCGCTGGAAATTCTAAAGGACATTTCAGAGGGCCAGTTTCAGCTATGGGTTTTGGAGCTACGGATACTTGTAGACCTCCAATGTACACCTAAAAAAGGCAGTATGTACCCCTTAATGAGTGGAACATAACCTTCATACCTCCAAAGCCCATACCGGACAATGCCCTTGAAAGTTAGCCGAAATCCCTGTTGTTCATGGGTGGTTGGATTGTAGGAATTGCTGTAGCTGCTTCCTTGGCTTCCGTAGAGTGGCCTCAAACACGCACCTACCTGAAAAAAACACAGCGGATGAAGGAGTTCCATGTGACGGGGATAGCGACGCAGGTTTCACTGACAAAGGTCGATACCCCAATAATCAACCAGGTCGATATTAAACACCAGGGGACCGCAGATTTTAGTCCATGTTTCCATTTACCAGGGTTCCATTTTGGGTACCTATTTTTGACCCACAGCCATTTTGGGGCTTCCGGGCTGCCCATTTTCTCACGACAGAGGCAACTCCTGCACGCTCCAAGACAAGTTCCAGAATCGTGGGCCCAGCTCTAAGCCGGAAATGGCCATGGACAGGGCTGTGGTTGAAATGGAATCCACTTCTGCGATACAGCAGAAAGGGCCTAACCCCAAAGACTAACCCATCTAAAGGGAGGGATTCCCTATAGAAGTGGTTGGATTACCCCCATCCCACACCCCTGGCTGACAGAACCCAAACCGAATTGATCCCACCCTGGGCATGGAGAGTAAGGATTTTCGGCATGTCCTTTTGTAAAAATCGATTTGGGGTCTTGTCTGGTAAATGGATGGCATAACACCCATCTAAACCAGTGCCTTCTATTTTTGACCACTCACCTACTAAGGACACTTATGGATTTGGGCATCCTTTTTGGGTTGGACACGACACACCTATCCCCCACCACATTTATCAAGGGCGTATGAGCGGCTAACTACCCAACCCGGCTTTTGGCTAGAAAAGTTCGAAACGCCGAACCCAGCGCCTGCTCCAGCATCTTGAGGCCTCTGTCCACTATCAAGTTGAAGGCATCCAAGCCATTGGTCAGACCGTCAGCGGTGCCCTGAGCTCCCATCGAGTCCACCGGAAGATCGCGACCAAAACAACAAGATGTGATGTGACGACGAATGTGGTGTGTGAAGATATAATGTACATATATATATATATATATAATACACCCCTTCTCCCACTAACATGGCAAACTGACAATCAAGTACCCTCCCTCAGGTGCCACGTTAGTGGGAGGAAGGGTATTTATGTGTGTATGGTACAGCGTTGCCAGTCTCCCCCTCCCCAGCCCCAAAGGGGTCATGGGTCAACCAAATGTGGCGGCTTGGGTGGCTGGCGCTTTTAGGTGGTTCAGGTCGGGTTAAGGTTGATGTAGGTTGCTTTAGGGCTGGCTCAGGGTTTTGCAGGATCGGTCTAGGTAGATTTAGGATTGGCTCTTGGTTGGCTTAGGTTGATTAAGTTGGTAGGGTTGGATTCGGGCTGATTGGGCTCGTGGAGGCTTGCTTCAGGGTTGGTTTCGGTTGGCTTAGGGTGTTTGGGGTGTGAAGAGGCTTGGGGGTGGCGGGGGAATGGGATGAAGCTGGGGACTTGGAATATCAACTCGTTTCTCGGCCTGAAGGTACGGATCTCGGATTTGATCAAACAAAGATGCCGGAGGTAGATCTTGTTCAACTGAAGTTTTGATGGTGAAGCTCCATGGTGGAAAGTTGAGCCGCGCATTTTAGGCGGCTCCGCGACGGGGTGAAGGATTTTTTTCTCGTAAGAAAACGAGTGCTGCGCGAAGCGAGTTCGAGCACGCGAAAGTGCGCAGAGGGTCGATCGAGCGGTTGGATCAGCAACCAAATGATGGGCTTTTTGAAGGTCAGAAAGGCAAAAATTGCACAAAGGGGTGGGGGATAGGAACACGGAAGTAGTTGCTCAATTGACCAAACACCTGCCAAAAAAGGGGCACTGAGGGGAGGGATGCCATAAATCAAAATATGATATTCCTAAACCTCCATTTGCTTAAGCCCCCTGAAATATATATATATATATAATATATATATATATATATCCAGTAGTGATAGATTCCCTTTAAGCCAACAGGGGGAAATTAACAAATATTCTTAACCAAATGGAAGTAAAGTACGGCCTCCATGCCAGCCTCCGCTGCCTTCATCTCATGTTCAAAACCACTGTCCAAACAGCATCCCTCTGGGCAACTCATAATACCCTCTCTCCCACTAACATGGCAACTCACAGGGGGGTCCCTCCAAGAGCAAGCAAATAGCCTGATAGCCTCCTACACATGCCATGATAGTGTGAGGGAGCAGGAATACCCCCGAACTGCCTTCTTCATGGGCGAGATCGTGCAAGTGAGCTTACAAATTGCATGGATCTGGGGTGGCAAATGGGTGGTGTGTGTTCCACAAGACGTCAAAAGGGGGCGGGGGGTCCAATGCATTCACTTGATCGGACACCCACATATCCATTTGGGACACCATTGGAGGGTGGGAGCCCTGGTCAATGATTAAACAAATAGGTCTACCAGGGACGTGTTTTTTTCACCGGTTGAGCCTGAGGCTCTCTAGCAACCTTATAAACTCACTCCCGGAATCTGAGAACCAGGAAGCTTATGGAGGTGTATCCTAGGAGCTGTGGCTCTCAACATGAGTTGGAATGACCTCGAACCGTTCAACTGGCATCTTCCTCCAAGATCCCAATCCCAACTCCCAAAAAAACAGAGAACCAGCAAGTTGCGCCATCCCATTTTTCATCTTATCCTTTATGTGTCAAAAGAGCGCCTCCAAATTATGATGTGTCAGGATAGGGATCCCCCCCAAAAAAGGAGCTGGTTTTGTTCCGTCTGTTCGGCTTCCCCCCTTTTTCAAACCGGCCCAAAAAGTGTTCCCGACCCGATGGCCTTCACCGTGGCCATCTGGTTCGCCACTTGGGTGGAGCTCCTAAGCAGAAACCAACAAATCGAGGTCGCCCAAGCCTCAACGTCCGGTCTTCAGGGCTTGAAGACTGGACTTGGGGATTGGGTGACCTTGATTTCTGGGGTTAGGCGTTCAAAAGCTTTGGGCCTCTAAGGCCAAGTAAGGCCAAGCATTGTTTCTTACTTCGGGGTTTTCTATGGCGAGAGGTGCTTTGGGAGGTGACTGAAGCAGGTGGCAAGCATGCCAAGAGCCCGACAATGGACATGACGACACCACAACACTCGCACGAAAAACCGATGGGGGGGGGGGGCTGCTCGAAACCTCGAAAACTGACTCGACCCATCCTAGGTCCTCTAGTAGAGAGGTTAGAATAAGGGTACCAACTTTTCTCTGTTGTCTATTTTACCGGGGGAACCCTCCCAACCAAAAAAGGGGAGAGAAAGGGCAGTACTGGGGCACCTAGCATCCAAATCCGATACTCTGGTTTTGCTTTCTCCGCGTCGAGAGTCAGGGCTTCACTGAGATGCCTAAAAAGGCGTCCCTCAAAGTCGCTCGAACTCACATTCTATTGAACACCCACCCAACATATAGGGTTCCCTATCTACTCGCCCTTCAAGCATCGCCCCTCGCAAGGGGAAGTTTGAAGACCCCCGAGAGGGTGCTGCTCAAACAGTTGCTCGGAACATGCTTTCATGCGGGTTCTCAAAACGCTGGACCTTGTCTTTAAATCTGTTTGGTGGCTTCAAAGCGAAACCAGAAGGAAACATCCCATTTTGGGGGTTCCGCCATTTAGATGGATCAAGAGACCTTTTGGTGCGTCACGAGTATCATGGCCTCCGGGCGTTGTTTCCTGATGCATGATCGCCTCTCTGTCCAGATCGATGTCCATTTAGGGCTTCTCAAACAAATGGGGGCCCTAAGCTGGTTGGTTTTTCCGTGGTTTTCCTGGAAGTACCGGCTCCGAAATATATTCTGAGAAACAAACCTTTGGCAGAAACAATGGCACGCAGACCTATAAGGCCCCCCATGTCCATTTCTGACCGAGCTCCATTCAGCTTCAGCTTACCCTCAGTTGGTGATTTGAATTGCTGGTTTGGAGGTTCGGGGTGATGTCTAGGGGTTCAACCCCCACATCATCCAAATCACCATTTAGGGATGATCTTATTCCAAGGCTGGACATGTCAAGATCGTTGCAGGGTGTTCCTCCCAATCTGGACGTGCGGCTATCTTTGCTGGTCCTCCTTATTGGTCTACAGCGGCTTTGCATAGTTTCAGAACTTGTGGGGGCGTGCCTCGTGCATACAAGAAACAAGAAAGGAGCGCCTCTAGAACAATACTTCTTAGACAACGCCATGGAAGCTGACAGAACGTTTTGGGAAGCAGTACTCTTGAAGGGGCCGACTGTCCACGTTCAGGATTGTTGCCCAAAGGATTGAGAACCACCGTTTGGTTCTACTGAAATGGCTAAGGTTTATACAGACGCTACTATAACCCCCGAGAAGTAGGTGCTCAATTTGGGTATGTGCCAGAATATGGATTTGGACCCCCTAATGATTAATGTTGACCCCGGATTAATAAACCCCTGTTTATTAATATGGGGGTGTTCCCCTCCAAAAGTGATACATCCCCGAAAAAGAAAAAACAAAAAAACAACATATTAATAAACAGGGGTTTATTAATCCGGGTTCAACAATAATCCCTAAACCAACCACAGAGTCTGAAAAAATACAAGCTCGCTTGGGCCCTCAGAATCCATTCTCCATTGAATCGAGGGGCGAGGCAATGGTTGGAATGGCCGAAGTCGCTGTCTCGAAAGTGCTCCTCGGTCGAGCTGCCAAAATTGGGTTGCAATGAACTGCCGCTATAAAGGAGTTGACAAAATCAAGAGGTGGATTCAAATTAGATACTATGAACCACCACAGTGTAGAAGGACATCAACCTATAATCTGCAAATTGATCGCCATAAGAATATGCACCGAATGTGAGGACCCCATAGGCAAGCGCTTGTACACGGGACACACCATGTCGCTTCGATACAAAGTTCCCTTTAGGGTTTGGGGTATGAGCTCCCACACTTCGTTTGCACAAATCGGCGGTACTGAACTCCAGTTCCCAGTGACCCCGGTCGAAACACGGAGCCCTTTCCTTTTCAGGGTCGATTCCACGTGTTATCGGGCCCCGAACCAACCAAACAAAAGGGAGGAAGGGTGTCACCAAACCACTGGGGAACTTTGCCCAAACAGAAGAAACGCGAGCCACTGCACAAGCAATGGAGTGAGACTGCAAGCAGATGCTTGCGCATGTCTGCTGTTACTTTGTTAAGTGGAATGCCAAAACATCACCTGTTTAACTTGCGATTGTTCACCAACGGGACCTTGGATTGCCCAATATACGAAGTAGCTGTGCCCACCGAAGAAATTGGAACAGGTCCGTACTTAAACTTCTTGTTTGCGTGTGTGTGGTTTTGAGGGTACATACATCTTTTCCCAAACGCAAAACCACCACTTTGGGGTCCCCCTATTTTGACACGCATCCACTCCGATATCCAAGGCTTGCAACCAGAACCACAGGCAGGGATACTAGTTGCTGCTCACAAAAAGCTGCGTTTACGACTCATGCTCAGAATCTTTGCTTCACATTCAGTACCTGAAAGCAAAGCATCCTTTCTCTCCAATCAGCCGTCCCACGAAGTTCTCCCATGTGGCTTCAGAAACCCCATGGGCACTACCGAATCCGGTTGGAGCGCTTTTTGAGGCTCGGCGCCCTTTCCGGGGTTTGGTTTAGACGGCCCGAGCAAAAGAACACCAGGCCCCCCTTCCTCAGAAAAAAACGGGTTTAGGGGGCCCCCCTCTCACCTTGTTGTAGAAAATACGGGGTTCGGGGGAGTTGATGCATACCCCACAGTTCCCATTGAGATGTTTCAGCCCAAAAGGAAGATCACCTCGCCAAGAGATGCTCCAGCATTTGTCCAAACCCAACTTTGACACATGCCATATACATTATATGCTTGAAGTCAAGACTCCGGATTACGACCACCATTTCCTATTCCCCATCAAATGTTAAAGAAATATGCCAGACCCTGGTCAAAACACACGGTTTTCTTAACACACCGATCGACCGTACAGAAAATACGCTTGGAGTTTAAACAAAAACATGGACCTGTGAAAGCCACTTCTTTTTGGCGCCAAGTTGGTATTCCTACTATGTTGAGCGAACTTCCGCGAGGATACGGAGGGAGCGGGGATATCGGATATGGGGGGATTCCAACTTGGCACCACATTTCCCATAGCTTCGTCAAGGTGCAGCAAACGGGGGAATCCTCCCGTATCCCTGGTTCCCCCTGTATCCCTGCTAGTTGGTTTCCCTGCAGATATGGTCCAAGGCGCTTCCCTGCAGTCACCACGGTTTTGGCAGCGTTGGCCCCCGTCTGCAGTGCCGGGAAGGGCACTGCCGCGATGGTCGTCAGCCCGGTGGTCAACACCTGGCGGGCGTGCCATGAAGCTTTTTGAGGCTACGTCAATCTTTTATAGTCTAGGTCCTCCAGTAGAGAGGTTAGAATAAGGGTACCAACTCTTTTCTGTAGTCTGTTCCAGTAGGGGAACCCTCCAAACAAGGGTAAAAAAGGGGGCACTACTGGGGGACCTCTAGCAGTTCATCCCTGGTTCAGTGCATCCAGTTCTGTCGGCCCAAAGGAAATCTTTGGAACCTCGACTTCAAAACGGCTTGCCCGATCCGATCTTCCAGCATCCCGGTTGAAAAGGCACAGACACTGGTTCCTGGCGTGGATTCAGGACCTTTGAAGAGCCCATGGTTCTGAAGTGAAGCCGAAAGGCTTCACGCTGGCCATTTGGGGCTCCAGATCCCAAATTTCACACATACCAGTCACCGGTGACGGTGGCTTTGCAGGTTCGGGTTATGTGATCAAGAGTTATAAAGGTTACAGCGGGTTGTAAGGCGGTGCGCGGGGATAATTATATGAGGGTAGGAAGATATGGTGGACAGCACCTACGGGAAGTCGTGGTGGTTTAAAGGTTCTGCGGGCTAAGGGATGTGACGGTTCGCGGAAAAAAAAAGGTTGTAAGGCGGATAAAGGGGATGGGAGGTAAAATAGTTTGAAGCAGGAGGGCTCTGGGGAAAATTCGAGGCTATCAAGGGTTATGAGGGTCCTAAAGCTAAAGGTTGCAAGGGTCAAAGGTTTGAAGGTTGTGTGGTGACGAGTAAAGGACCAGACGAATTTATACGTTGTGTTGGAGAAGCTGATTATAAGGGACTATAAGGCTTACTGGGTCAAAAGGTGTATATGGTTGATTACCGGGTCATAGGAAGGGCCTTTAATAAATACGAATTAACTTTAAGGTGATGAAGTTCATTCGGGGGATCAGGCTCATAAGGATAATGGCTATAAGGCTTGGACGGGGTAAGGGTACAGGGTAATGAGGGACATAAGGCTTTTGAAGGTTACAAGATATTCACCATGTCACCGTTGGCATCGCGTTGGTACTTCACAATCGCCCAGTTTCCCAGGCGGGATTAGGTTCCCTCTCTCCTCTGCCGGCTCTAATTATTACTCTTGCCGATACAAACTTAATTTGCTTGTGGCGTGATGGGCGTGTCTTGGCAAACCGCCTACCAAGGAAGACACACCCATGCGAGTGTGTTTCCCCCAAAAAAACTTTATGTTTTTCCGTGTGGTTTCCCTTCAAACCAATTTGCAAAGATCAAAGTGGCCCCTCACTCTTCCATAACTCATGCAATTCTTGAAGATACTGGGCCCGTTAAATGGAACAATATCTCTCCAATCGGTTTCAATCACATTCCCCAGATCCTCCACCCACACAGTACACTGACACAAACCGGCAGTAAAATGCACTTCCAAGAATAACGCCAACTGATCGACAAAATTGTTAGGATGGAGCCTTAGGAAACAATGGACATCATCTGGGTTTGTCTTAAAAATAGGGGACCCCCTAGTAGGTGTCCTGTTATTTTCCTTTGAAACCCACCAACAAATCTCGGTTGCTTTCTGCTCTGCTGAAAAAAGGCTAACTGTTAGTGGGTAAAAATTCGGAAATCCAACCACTCAACACTAAGAGGATCTAAAAAGCTAAGGAACCGCACGGCTGGCACCAAGAATTCGTTCCGATAGAAAGGACATGCAACCAACCAACTTGTGCAAGTCCGCCGGTTTCCTTCAGGGCCACTGCCTGGGAGAGCCCGAGTCTGGGGCAAGAGTCTCTGCGACTTCGTCGACTTCGTCGACTTCGTCGATATGCGTTCTCCAACAATGGCTTGGTTGCTGCAAGGACCCTGCAAAAAGTTGACAACTCTTTGGGGTTAAACAAAAACTTGATTTCAACCAAACAATTGAAGTCTAAAGATCCAACCCAATAGCAGTGAGAAGGTCAGTCCCCTTATACTGGAAAAAGGGTAAGCAGAAAGGTTGGATTCAAGCCCTTCCAACTGTGTAGGGCTTGGCATCTAATTCTGTGGTGCTTGGCGGTACGCTGATTGCCAGTTGCATGTTTCGAGCCCACAAAACAAATAGAACATGGAGACAAATGTAGGGGGCCCCGAAATGGGTGCTTTTCCTGCGGTTTCCAATCAATCTATTCGAACAAAGCCTTCCTCAAAAAAAGCACGCCCAAAATCACTTGAAGCAAATGGAAGTACTTGAGGCAGAACAACTTGCAACCAAAATTTGTCGTGGGAAGAACCAAGATACCCTTCTTATAAAGGTAAAAAAAAAAAAACGCCCCTTGAAAGAAACCCCGGGATCCAACCCCTCCGTCCGAAGCAGACCGCATCAACCAATGGATCGGCGCACCGGGAAGAGGGTCGCCATGCACTGCCGGGCAGTGTTGATCTGGCCCTCGGAGCGTCGAACCAAGGATCTCTGTGGCCAGAGTTGTTGTGTTCTTTTCTTTTTTTAATGGGTCGTCCCTACGTCCAAAGGATCTTTTTGTCAGATTTGGACCCCAATGGGTCTAGGGTGAAGGCACAAGGGTTTAGGGTTTAGTGTTCGAAGGCAAAAGGGTCTCTGCGGCCAGAGTTATTTTTCATGGGTCGTCCCAAACAAATCGACCCAGGAAATGGGTCGACGTTGGCGAACTTGGGCTTCTCTCGACCTGTCGGACCACCTGGGGCCAAAACAGAAGACTAAAGATCCGTCAGCCAAGCGCCGGGGCGGGAGGGGGGGAGGTGAGAAAATGGAACAACTTCTGCATGGCTTGCGGTGGCGGATAAACATTCTCGTTTTCCATGAGCTGCAAGATGGCTTGAGCCATTCTCGTTCCCAAACATCCCGCCATTACCTACCCACTCCAAACGACTTTTGGTGTATATTCAGAAGCCCCGTTTGCTTTTCTTCATGGGCAAAGGCGGCTCCTTTTCCAGCCAGAGGGCTTACTTCATCTCTCTGCGGGTAACCCAGGTGTGGGCAGATCTGACCAGAGCCTTCGGAAGGCGACAAAGAAATCCTCAGGGGATGAGCCACAAAGGCAAACCGTGGTGTACCTGTGCGCTTTGTTGTGTTTTTTTTGGTACCCTCCACCGACTCACATGGAAGTGCACAGAGCCCTGTAGAAAGACGACCTTCCTCCTGGCAATGGGGTTTGTGCACTTCCAGGGTTGGTGGGAGGGTAATCCTTTGGAGTTGCTTCAAAGAAGACAAAGCAAAAGAAAACATATGGCTTGAGCCTATTTTAAGACACAGCCCCACCTCTTTGCATGATGTTTCTGGGTAACCTGCGGGCTAGCTGGGGTTTGGTCAGATTTGATGTGGACAAATCGATGACACAGGTGTCCTTGATTCGAAGAAACAATGCAACTCGAACAAGCAGAAGTAAACAACCCCATTTTGATAGCGGTTCCCCTAGAGGATATTTGGCAAACTAGTGAGGCCCCAGCTTTTGCTTCTTTAGTGCGTCCCCATGCAGACTACTGGACATCTTGCCTTATCACAGAGGCCCCATGTCCCGCAACGCTAGTTGATGTTTTAAGTCGACGGTCCAAAGTTGGACAACACGTACTAGCTCAACACTTGAAATCTTGTTTCAAAGGAGGGCCCCTGCAAATTTAAACCAAAAGGAAGTCTACTCCCGAGTCCTCAGGGTCCGATTGCGTCGTTTTGCCTTGAAAAACCCAAAGGATCCAGGGGGGTGTTTCTCAAAACATTCCCTCAAAATGCATGGTGCTCTTTTAGGTTCAACCACATGGGTCCACCATTTTTTCCAGAAACTTGCCAGGGTCTCTCCGAGTACAAGAGCTAAGACTGGCTCTACTGCAAAGCTACTCTGTGGACGGACAAAATCCTGCACCACCTAAGAAACCCTGGTTTCTGATGATTCACCTGTAAATACCAACAAACAATGGCTTCAACCATGCGTTCAACATGGTGCGAAATGGACTTCGTCCATCCACAGCAGCAATCACATCCTACCTTAAGGAGAGCACATTCTATCGCGCTGCGCGGCTGGGGAAGTCCATGGGAAATTAAAATCAAACCCATGACTCCAAGGCAAAGGGCTGTTGGCCCTTTTGCTTTTTTTCAGGGGAAAAGGCGGCTCCTTTTCCAGCCAGGGCTTACTTCATCTCTCTGCGGGTAACCCAGGTGTGGGCAGATCTGACCACCAGAGCCTAATCCATGGACCCCCGAAAACCGCTTCGCCTTTGTCTGCCTTCATCAGCCTCAAGCTCACGAACTGCAAGGCTCACACGCGAGACGGCGGTGGCTAATTCAGTGCATCCCTTGAAGATGGTCTGTGCGGTTCCAAGATCTCTTGATGAATCAAGCTGTTGTTGTTTTTCTTACAGGGTTCTTTCTGTTCCTCCCCACCCGCCCCCTCCCCCCCCCCATTGCTGAGGTGGTTTCTTCCAGCCAAGACGATCCTGGGTCTTCCAATGCCAGACCCAGATCCCATTCAACATCCGAGAGGAATGACCTTTTGTGCGTTTCGCCGGGTGCCCCACTCAAGGATTGGCTCAAAATCGCCAGCGTGGACATCTTGGGCGTTGGGGTCTCAAAAGCCGGGTGCCCCACTCAAACAGGGATCCTTACATTATACACCTGAACATTGCCTCGTAAATGGTGGTGTCTCTTTATTTTGCAGGAGAAAGCCATCTTTTAAATGGTGGCAAAATGTATCTTTTAAGGAGCCCTATCAAAAGTCGGCGGTTCCAATCGCCCGCGTCTCGACCCAGATCGATCCTTCGATCCTTCCGCCGGTCGATCGATCAGGGCGAGCGGCTGGGTACTCCGCGATGGTCTTGGCGCTGTCCACGCTCGTTGCGAAGCTCGCGACGCTGGTCTTCCTGGGGGTGTCCGTATGGCTTCCCTGGGTGTCCTTCTGGCCTTGCTTCGGCTTCCTTTTTGGCCTTCCTCTTGGCCTTTCTTCTTTTGGCCTTCCTTTTGGCTTCCAAGTTTAGGTTGGTGCCCAAAGAAAGGAAACACGACATGGCGCATTCACCCCTCCCGAAGCTCCTGCCTCGATCCAAGTCCTTTGGGTTCTCGTCGGGGAATTGGAGCTGTGATGTTGGTCCCAGACGCGTGTCGAGTCTTACCCAAACGGTTGCTGCAAGGACCCCCCCGGCAAAAAGTTTTTCACTTTTTGGGGGGTTTAGGGGAGAAAACACATTTTTTGGGGGGGGGTTTAGGTTGGAAAACACCTTTCTTGATTTCTTTCCCAAAAAGTTGTCCAGTCTAAAGATCCGCTACCCAATAGCACTCAAGTTACAGACGACAACGGAACTAACCACGAAACTAAGGTCGACCCAGGATGAACAAACCTGGCGGACTTTTATGTGTCTAGTCCAAACCAAAAGGGAACTCACCACGACGAGTCATGTAGACCCAGGATAAAGAAAACCCGGCGGATTAATAATGGGGTGTTGGGCGCAAAAGCGAATGATCCCCTCTACAATGACACACACCCGCGAATAGTATCCTTGTTGACAAACAAATCCTGGGTTCTGGTTAAAAATAACACTATATGTTTCATTTTTATGGGGACGATAATCAGTTTGCACTTGGATGTTCAACCCACTTGGCAAGTAGGCTATAACCATGCTTATAAGGGGACTATCCTCAGCTACCCCAATTGCGACCGTGGCTGTAACCTAGGTACTAAAGTGGGTTGACCATCCAAGCAACGGCATTCAAAGCTTTGCCGCCTTTTTCCCTCTGCTCGCCATGTCTGTCCGTCTGCGCAGTGCGAAGAATCTCGCACGCATCGCATAACTCGATCTGCGCTTCACTAATTACTATATTACACGAACCTATAAGCGATCCACCAATGAATCACACCATGTAAAATAATAGTTCCCGCAATTGCAATAGAATATGTAGTCTACAGTAATATTTTAGTAAGACACGCAAAGGGACCTTTTGCCAAATCAGATCAAATGGTTTCTACATTGCAGGCTGCTCGTCACAAGGCTAGAAAATCGATCAGGGATCCACTAACACCCTTGTGGTTTGGTCATGGTTTCGTCCGGAGTGGGGAACTGTACCCAACACATGCCCATTGCTGGCAGCCTCAAACAAGGGAGCGGCTTGGTCTCTTCCCACACAAGTGAGCTTCATGGGCAGAATCGCGGGTTTTACCCCATGGTACCGCCAAGCTTGGCATTCTATATACCATATGCTTGCCGTATGTGTAATGTTTACCGCATTTCTCCGTTATTTTCCGTGTTTCAGTGGTTTTCCCATCTGCTTGCCCTATGTTTAATGTAGGTTTACCCCATTTCCCCGTTTGTTCCCTGTGTATGTCCGCTCACTTCACCAGAGGCGGCCACCAGCCGAAGGTCTCCCCGCTGGTGAGCACCAAATATCCCACGTAGACCTTGCTGCGATTTCGCTGAACCGTCTCTGAACCGTCTCTTCAGCCCAAAGGGACCCACGAAAAAACGCCCGGCGTTTTTGTTTTTCTTTTTTCCAACGAGAAGTTCGGAACAAAAACTGGTCGTCTCCGGACTTGACGTGAAAAAGTGTCCATTGGAGGATCCAGGTGAACCTTTTGGGACCTTGACTCAGATGCCCAGTGAGATTTCCAGGGGAAAACAAAGAAACGGCATCCGATTTTTTGGGTTGGTTGAGTTTAAAGGGAACCCTTTCACAAAAAAAGGGGAGAAAAAGGGCACCACTGGGCAACTGGGTTGACTAGATTGGACTGGTTCTGGGGGCCCTAAACCAGCACCCAACGTCTGATTTTGCCAAACACCCTTCAAGTGAGGCAGGCCTTGGTGCGGGGGGGGGGATGAGAACAGGTTCCGAAAGCTTGCACCCAAGGACAATGATGTGCGCGAGTGGCGGAGTCAACACTCCATGGTTGTGAACATATCCCAAAGTGGGATTGACTACTTCATCATCTTGAAGGGGGTTGCACTAAGAACAAATAGTGGGTTGAGCAAAAAGTGGAAAGTGGGACTGACTATGGAATTAATCTTGAAGGGGATCCTTGGTATCACACAGAGTTGCACTAATAACAGGGGAAAGGGAATCCACCAGCCTTGGGGAGGGAGGATGGGGAAAAACTGGTTCTTTCGGAAAGCCCAGAAGAGGTCGATTCGGGCATGTGTCAAACTTGCGGGACTCCGAAAGTGCTAGTTGCCTTCTGGTTTCCCTTTAAACCAAGTTGAAAAAAGGGTACCAACTCAAACACCCACACACACACACACCAGCAAACACGCACACACACACAAACAAACCAACAAACCAACAAACAAACAGACAGACAGACAGACAGACAGACAAACAAACAAACAACCAGACAAACAGAAAGACAGGCAGAAAGACAGACACCGACAGACAAACAAGCGCACGCAGACACAACCATTGGCTTGTTCGCTTGTTCGCTTAGGCGGATTGACAATCAATTTGATCGCAAGCTGAGGCACGCTCACCAGGATAGGGCCGTAGGAGTATGAGAGCTTGCAAAAGGGTGGCATGAAGACAAAGAGGATCACCAAGGCCAAGGTCCCAGACATCCACAGCACACCCTCGTTGATGCCGGCCACATTCCTCACGTGCATGGATCTTGCTTTTGTTGGTTTTCCCCTGTTTTTTTATTATTATTTCTTTATGTTTTTTTTTTTTTTGGGGGGGGGGGGGGGGGGGTTTTTTGTTTTTCGCACTCACGTGTTTCGACCTGAAGCCGGTGACGATTCTTCGGGTTGATTCCCCATGTCCCTCACCCATCTACGTTCAGAAAGCACAAGTTCCCGGGGGGGTTGGGTGATCCTCTGAAGAGAGCAGCCTGGGGGGTAGATGCGAACGAAGCAGGATATTTGGCGCATGGATGCCACAACACAAGAGCTGACAAACAATAAACTGAGGTTGGCTTGTACATTCAACACCTCTTTCTTTCATGCAATTCGGGTTGGTCAAACTGGGAACAATATGGGCTCGAATATGTGGGTCACAGGTCACTCAGCAAAAGCAGGAAAAGCCGTACAGCAAAACCAAAAGAAGCTGAACATATCTACAGGTGGGACTAGCTGTTCCGCCGCGGAGGCCCAAAAGATTGGGTTTGGCAACCCGTGGGTTTGTTGCCTCCCTGTTTGGTGGTCCCGACAAAAAGGCGGCGCGAGTGCTTCGCTGTCCCAGATGTTCCGGCCCTCCAGTTTTTCCAGGTGAGGGTTTGATTTTGGTAGCAAGAAGGTATGCTTTGCTTTTGGCTTTTGGTTTGGTTTCGATTTTTCTGGCTGGGCTTTAACCCCAAAGGCGGAGTGTGGGCCACTAGGCAAGATCGCCACCTCCTTCCTCTTTTCACCTTGACGGTGCTGTTGGTGTCTTTGGCCCCCGAAACGTCCAGCCGAAAACCGAACACCCCACTGGCAGGGGAGGTTCCCTGGTTCCCCGGCAAGCTGCTGGATGATGGGCTTGCCCCCGTGCTGCTGCTGGTAGATGACCCAAGGCAAGGCCATCGCCAAGAACACGTTCTGCACCTGGCTTGAACCGAGATCGGGAAGATCGGGGAAATCCCAAAAAGCCAATGGAGGCCATAAAAGTCGTAGACCTGCACAGCTCCCCCAAGACACAGCTCCCCCCGCCAAAATGGTTTTGCTAAACGGCTGCGGATGTGATGTTTGGGGTGTCCTTTCGAGGGTGTAAAGCAAACATGTAACTCCCCTCCCTGCCCCAAAGAGACTCAGATGCCCTGTGGATTTCCGCTGCAAAAAAAGGCGGCCTTCTTTGTTGGTGGAGTTTAAAGAAAAAGGGGAACCCTTGCCTAAAAAATGGAAAAACCAGGGCGGAGTTTAGAGGTTCAAAGACCAGCTCCTTCCAGAGTCCGGTTCAGCGCCCATCCCGTCGTAGGTTCAGCGGCCCGATGCGGGCCCTCCCCCATAGATATGGCCACGCGGATATTTTGTTTTTCGTCCAACAGAGAACCATTTCCGGAAATGTGCGATGGTTCTCCCCTTTAGTTTCTGGCAACTGTGCAAAAGGGGTAGCAACTCTGAAAGGCACGGAGAGAATCAAGGGTCGGCGTGACCCAAGCAAATTTGGAGGGCCGGTTGAACACTGCTCCAACAATCATGGAAGCTGACGATGTCAAAGGACTGTGCCTCTTCTGGGGAACATGCCGGTCCACTGATTGATGGAAAGAGGGTAGGCTCGAAAAGAAGGGTATGAACTCCAAAAAGCAGACACAACCACATCAACCTGCAACAAGAACCAGGTCAACAAAAGTGACATCCTCAAAAAATACCCTCTAGTGGCTTAAGGGGAAACAACTGGGTCTAAAAGTAGTTTTGACAACCCCCAAACGAATTACTTTAACAGGTGCTTTAAGACTCGGGCTTCTTGGCTGGAACTCCAAGATCCCCTGACCACTCCGGGGCAGTAACAATCAACCAAACAACCAACCAGTCAAGCAAGCAAGCAAGCAAGCTAGCTAGCAAGCTAGCAAGCTAGCTAGCAAGCTAGCAAGCTAGCAAGCTAGCAAGCACGCAAGAAACCCTTTCCGTCATAAAGTAGGAAAATCATCGTCGTAGCTTCTCAGAAGCCCAGAACTGGCAGCCTTCTCCCATTTGATTCTAAAGCGAAGCCCCTTGAGCCTTACAAGCCTTACCAATCCCTTCCTGAGGGCGAGGGATGCTTTTTTTGGACGACATGGTCTTCTCTGGCGGCAATGTTGACCCTGGATCAAACCCGTCCTGTTTATTTGGGGGGGGTGGTTTCCTCAAACAGCCACGAGTCATTCTCGTAGTCCCGAAAAAAACCTACTTTCTGGTTCCCCTCTAAAATGGTAATCAACCGGGTGTGTATGAAACCGGGCTCAACATGAGCTCAATTGCCCACAGCAATACAA